ATATATATATATATAGTTATATATATAGTTATATATAGGAATATGTGGTCTAATGCTTCTTGGAAAATCTAAATAAATAGTTGTAGTTTGGAATGGATGATTAGAAGATGAGTTTGTTGTGTAAAACAAGTTAAATTGTGTGCTAAGTTGCCTTGTCCTTATTATGTATTATTCTTGATGGAAGTAAATCGAGATTTCAAGTCGAGTCGGCTGCATGAATTATTTTTCTCCATTGTGTCGTATTATATGTCCTATTTTCATTTATTCTGATAAATTAAGATCACTTTTTTATTCGATAAAACTAAGTCTTTTTAATGCAAGTGAAATCTAAAACATCCATTCTCCTATCAAAGTCCTCAGATGATTGACATTCTAGACATTCAAAATATTACAGTGACAATTACAATATATTTATATTTGAAAGAGTCAGACCGTAGCTAACTTCTAGCCAAGATTGGTGAAAAAATACAGATTTCAATTGTAATTTTTTCGAAAAAGTTGTCAAAATGCAATTTAGCAAAGAAGACAAAAATACGATGCGATGTCGCATCGCCGCCCCAAACGAACCTTAAATCATTCATACATGATTGCCACTTAAACTATTCCAACTCTTTCATGGGTATATTTGTTTCGTATTTTGTTTTAAAAGTAAAACAACTCATTCACCCGAGCAAACTCATATCAACAACTTACATGCCGAAACATAGATCATTGCAGCTCACCACCAACTTACAAAAAAAATAAATAAATAAACAATATATATTTTCCATGTACTAATCATTCTGCGGCTAAATTCATCAAATTAAAATGCAAATTTTCAGTTCTTTTGAATTTAAGAAATGGTTCAAATGCTCATAAAATCACACAAAATAATGCTTTAAAATTGAAAATTGATTAAGAACAAAATGACATAATTTATTAAAAAAAGATATAAAAAAAAGGAAATTTACATTTATACCACACAATTCTTATACATTTACATATCAAACGCCTAAACTTTCATATTTACATTTATAACACTCGAGCGACATGATCCTATGCATGAAAAGATGAATTTAACTTTAAGCTGAAAGTAGCGCGGGTGCTTTTGACGTGATATCAAAGATTTAAGTGGGTAAATATGAAAATTTTGGTGTTAGATATGTAAATACGCAACTGTGTGTGTGGTGTGCATGTAAATGCCAAAAAAATAGCAAAAAAATAAATAAATAAATTCAACGCAGAACAAAATATTCAAAGAATTTATAAATTCACAGGTACACTCAGACCATCATAACTCAACTGCAAATCAAGGCCCTCCAATTCCTTCAGTTTTGCAAGATCTTCGCTCACTTTTTCATGATCCATTAGATGCATCATGCCTGCTTAAATAATAAAAATAAAATCAAAATTATTCTTTTTTTTTTCTCTAATTAGATTTATTTTTTTTTAAATAATTAGATTTAAATTAGGGGGATTTACACATATACCACTGAATACTTATATTTTTCCTTATTTAACACCTTATTTTTATATTTAATTCTATAATTTCAAAATATATGCAGGAAACACATTTCATTACAACTAAGCTGATGTTAATGGAAAAAAAATATTCCATCAGGACTCCGTATCGCACGTAACTCTACGTAGAGGGTTCGCACTTAACTCTACGTAGAGTTACGTGCGGAGTCCAATGAAATTACGCCGTGAGGTGATCGACCCGGTAACACCATGAAATATTCCCTCGTGTTATTCCGTGTTCTTCAGGTGTTATTGTATATTATTCAGGTGTTATTGTGTTCTGAAAATATTTTCGGTGTTATAATAGCACAATAACACATCAATAATACTTGAATAACACACAATAACACCTGAATCACACGAGGCAACACAAAGAAATATTCCCCTCGTGTTATTCCGTGTTCTTCAGGTGTTATTGTATATTATTCAGGTGTTATTGTGTTCTGAAAATATTTTCGGTGTTATAATAGCACAATAACACATCAATAATACTTGAATAACACACAATAACACCTGAATAACACGAGACAACACAAAGGAATATTCCCCTCGTGTTATTCCGTGTTCTTTAGGTGTTATTGTATGTTATTCAGGTGTTATTGTGTTCTGAGAATATTTCCGGTGTTATAATAACACAATAACACATCAATAATACTTGAATAACACACAATAACACCTGAATAACACGAAGCAACACAAAAAAATATTCCCCTCGTGTTATTCCGTGTGGTGTTATTGCATGTTATTAAGGTGTTAGTGTATTCTGGGAATATTTCCATTGTTATAATAACACAATAACACATCAATAATACTTGAATAACACACAATAACACCTGAATCACACGAGGCAACACAAAGAAATATTCCCCTCGTGTTATTCCGTGTTCTTCAGGTGTTATTGTATATTATTCAGGTGTTATTGTGTTCTGAAAATATTTTCGGTGTTATAATAGCACAATAACACATCAATAATACTTGAATAACACACAATAACACCTGAATAACACGAGGTAACACAAAAGAATATTCCCCTCGTGTTATTCCTTGTTCTTCAAGTGTTATTCTGGTGTTATTGTATGTTATTCAAGTGTTATTTTGTTCTGAGAATATTCTTGGTAATATTTTCGGTATTATAATAACACAATAACACATCAATAATACTCGAACAACACATAATAACACCTGAATAACACGAGGTAACACAAAGGAATATTCCCCTCGTATTATTCCGTGTTCTTCAGGTGTTATTGTATGTTATTCAGGTGTTATTGTGTTCTGGGAATATTTTCGGTGTTATATAACGCAATAACACATCAATAATACTTGAATAACACACAATAACACCTGAATAACTAACACGAATAACACGAGGGGAATATTCCCTTGTGTTACCGGGCCGATCACCTCACGGCGTAATTTCATTGGACTCTGCATGCTACTCTACATGCGGAGTCCTGATGTAATATTTTTTCATGCGTGAAAAGGTGTATTTCACTTTTAATTAAAAGTTAAAATAGTAATATTTTTTTTATGTGATATGTAAAAATGTAAACATACCAGTAAAGAGAGTTCTTTTCGGTCGGATTTTTCGAACCTCTTCCAAAGCCTGCTCGACAACATGATAGATTTACAAAACCAGACAAGCTGCTAAATCTGCAACATGAATATTTCGAGGAAAAGGATCAAGCAGCACAACATTTACATACTCTGGGCAATCCGAAATGCGTCGAGGAAGAACGATCCGGTCGTAGCATGTCCTGAACATAAAGAATAAGCATCAAAAGTGATCGACTCGAGGACAAAATTGCAAAGGAAAGTTTACATAAATACCACAAAATTTTTATGTATTTACATATATGACTCCTAACGTTTGATATATACACTTATAACGTCTTGGTGTCATAAAACTATGCATGAAAATGAGTATTTCATTTTAAAAAATGTAGCGACGGTTGTAAATATGAATATTTAGGTGTTTAGTATGAAAATACATAAGAATTGTGTGGCATGTATGTAAATGCCTCAATTGCAAAATATGAAAGGATTTTAATCCAAGTGAAGATTGAACCAGAATAAGTAAGTCACAGTCTCTGAGAAGCAAATATGTTTCTTGAGGTATCTCACTCACATCACTGCATTTACAGAAGCAATGTTTAGGCTTTGTAGAGCCATATTTAAAGAGACAGAGGAGAGATGATACTCGCCTTACGTAGCAGATATCGCCGAATCGAAAACCAAGCGAACGATATCCTCGGCCGTGCCAGACGGGCAAAGGGGTTATCTAAATCAATCGCACACATAGCAGATGATAAAATAGAACTAAAGAAAGAAAATAGCTTGAAAAATGCTCCCCAAACTCCTAATTCCTATGTATTTACATATCCATACACCAAAACTTTGCTTTTTTACATTTATAACAACTTAAACTTTCACACCACAACAAAATAACCACTATTTACACCTTTTTATGCATAGGTAAGGCGGCATATAAGTAAATACATAAGAATTGAGTGGGATGTATATAAATCTTCCTTACTTTAATCCCTTAACTCATGAAATCAGAATCAAATTGGTTGTACTGTCAAATTTGTTGCTTCTTTCAATAAATGCAAAAGATTTGGATGATATACATGCAAAAAGCAAAGCTTAGATTAGATATGTAAATAAATAAGAATTGGGCGGTATGTGTGTAAATGGCCACATATATATAATGTGATTAAGGCTTGTTATGAGAGCCATCACTCTCCATGTATAATTCTTTTTTTTTTATTTTTTTTTTATTGATATAGTGAATTCTTCTTTCATATTCATATATAACTGCCAACCAACCTTGAGATTATGTACAACAAATGGCTCTTCTTTTATTATATTAAATTGCAACTCTGAGACTGCAGCACCTTCTGAAACAACACTTGTATCCACCAAGTAGTAATGAGTCATTTTCATCACCTGGAGCCAATTAAACGACCGTTATACTTCAAAGCCAAAAGAAAACAGAGCATATATTAGGTTATATAGATAGTACTGGCTTGTTTGGTATCACTTTTATTTTTGTTTCTATTTTCATTTTTACTTTTATTTTAAAAACATGTTTGCTTCCAATATTTTTTTGAATGATTTTATTATTTTTTTTCAAAAATAAATTAAAATGATTTTAAAAAAAAAATCAAATATCTAAAAGTTATTGAGTGTTTTTAAAACAACTAGACATGTTATAGCATATCAAATATGTTTTATTACAAATAAAATTATAAACAAAAAATAAAATAAAATATTAAAAAGAAAAAGTAAAAATAAGAAATGATCCCAAAGAGCGCCTATAGATTTTTTGGTTGTGTTGTGATGCACGAATGATATAGGCCATTTATTGGCAAAAGAACGTGCAATGATAGATTCAAATTTGTGGTTAGCTTAAAGTACATGATGAAGTAATATATTGAGAAATGTTGTGCTTGATGATAACCGCCATTGAATCATTATGTAAAAATAATACAAAACAATTAGATTTACATACATACAACTCGATTCGTATGTATTTATATATCTAAATTCCTAGGTATTTATATATCTAATACCTAGACTTTAATTTTTACATACACGCCACCATATCTGTAGAATACATATTTGGAGAAGAATAATCCTTAATTTTTTATTATTCAAATTTAAGGTACATATATATAGTAAAATAATCCCTCATAATTTATGAACTTATCAAATATATCTAACCTAAATTAGGAAAAGAAATAATTATGAAACAAAAATTAAAATAACAAAGAATAAAAAGGGAATAAATTAATCATGAGTTTCCTAAGTTGTCCCAATAAAATCTTCCAGGATTTGAAAGTGGTCGGCCGGCCCACACAAGAGAGAAAGAGAGAGAGTCGGATCTTCTTAGATTTCCACTCCCCCCTCAAGTTGGGTCGTAAATGTTGTAGACCAAGCATGATACGGAATACTGAGAGGGTACTTAAAGAAACAGCTTTGACAAAAATATCAACAACTTGTTAGTGTGTCGGAATGTAGCTTAGCTGTATAATTCTCTCATTAACTTTTGTCTATCAATTTCAATATGTTTAGTCTTGTCATGATGCACAAAATTCTTGACAATAATGATAGTTGTTTGACTATCGTAAACATCTGTATAGGCCTATTGAACGTACATCTTTGTTCCCTTGATAATTTTTAAATCAAGATCCCTTTACAAATTCCCAAGGCGAGTGTCCTGTACTGATTATGATGTACTGCTTTTAAAAACAACCACTTGTTTCTTACTCCTCCATCTCACCAGATTTTCCTATACATAGAAGAAGTAACTTGTGGTAGACTTGCTGTCAATTCCACAACCCAATTAGCATCAATGTAGAATTCCACCTCTCTGTTCTTGGCTTTTTTAAAAATTATTTCATAACCAAAAGTCTTCCTGAGAAATCTCAGAATTTTGTACACCATTTATAAATGCTATTGATTTAGGCTATTTATGTGTTGGCTCACAATACTGACAGAGCATGCAATATTTGGTCTCATATGTGACAACTAGATGAGCTTTCCTACCAATATTTAATATGTTCCCTTATCCACAAAGATACTTTCTTCTCCCCTATTTGACTTCTGGGTGAGATACATTGGAGCATCAGCAGACTTACATTCAATCCTCATTGTCTCTTTTAGTAGATTTTGGATGTATTTCCTTTGGTACCTCAATACCTAAAAAATATCTCATGGTTCATAAGTTCTTGATTTCAAACTCCGTGGCAAGCGCTTCTTTAATCTTAATAATTTCTCTCTCAACATTACAATAAGAATCATATCATTCACATATACTCTCACTGCAACAATCTTACCACTTCAATTATGTTTTACAAACAAAATATGATCAAATTAACTTTGAGAATACCCATTAGAGCTCATAGTTTTAGCAAACCTTTCAAATCACGCTCGTGATGATTATTTAAGCCAATAGATAAAATTCCTAAGTTTGCATACTAGGTGTCTGTTAGAACTATTCTCAAGTCCTAGTGGTATCTCTATATACACTTCTTCTTCCAGATCTCCGTTCAAGAAGACATTTTTTATGTCAAAGATGTAGCCCTCATTCCTTGTTATATAGTACTAAAAGGAGAGTTCTTATAGTGTTAAGAGAGACAACGGGTGTGAAGGCCTTCTAATAGTCAATCTCATATGTTTGAGTGAAATTTTTTGCAATAAGTCTGGCTTTAAATCTCTTAATACCTCCATCAGCTTTGTATTTGATGTTGAAAACCCATTTGCATCCAACATTTCTCTTATCCGGATGAAATTTAGTAAGAATCCATGTATCATTATGCTTTAGTGCTCGAACTTCCTCTTCAACTACTTGATTCTAGATTTTCAATAGCTTCATGACTTTTTTCACGAGAGAGAGATGGCTCTTCTCATATTTTCACATTTCCTATGCATGAAAAGATGTTTTTCACTTTTTAAAAGTCAAAATCGTGATATTTTTGATGTGATATGAAAGATTTGAGCAAATAAATGTAAAAAGTAAACTTTAGCTTTTAGATGTAAATACCAAGGAATTGGGTGGTAGTTATGTAAATGCCCCAAACAAATAATAATGCTAAGTATATTGACCAATCTATGAATAAAATTTGATAAATGATAATAATTTAATTAACTAGTCGATTTTAAACACATGGCCATCTTTCATCTATTTCTAGAAGTAATAATTGGACTACATAAATCCTTTCTTCTAATAACCATTTGGTTGTTTTCTAAGTTCAACACATTCAACTATATTCATCATATAATGCTAAAGGTTAAGCAAAGACTATATAAAAATTAAATCAGAAACATTTGATATTTTTCTAGGTGTTGTTAATTCATCAAAAATATCATCATAAGAAAAAATTTCTAGTTAAATAATACTTTATTAAAACCTTCAAATATATTCACAATAATTATTAGATTTTATAAGCATAAATATTAGATTGTAACACATTCAACTAGTTACTTCTTCCACAAACTTTATATTCATAAGTATTAGATTTTTCAAAATAATTAAAACTAAATTATATTTGCTTTTAGATGTAGCATATATTATCTTCAGTCATCTAACGTGCAACTTCTATGATATCCTTTTATTAATTGAAAGATTTATATACCTGCCACTCATATTCTATGTATTTTACATATTTAACACCTAAACTTCAATTTTTACATACATGGCATCTTACCTATGCATGAAAAGGTGTATTTCACATTTTAAAAGTTAAAAAAGTGATATATTTGATGTGATATGAAAATTTTGGGTGCTATAAATGTAAAAAGCAACACGTAGGTGTTAGATATGTAAATAAATATGAATTTAGCGGTATGTATGTAAATGCCCCCTATTAATTTATGTTATCATCTTCATCCACAAAATCAATATCTGAATTTTTGTTTGGAAAGTAACCAACACATTGAACTATTGATGACACTCAAAACACGCTTTTGTGGAAATTTTAGAATCATATGACTTTAAATGAAATTTACCTTGTTCTTTTAGTTAATTGTGCTTTGCAGTAACTTAGATGCAATAGGTGCAACCATTCAAGTTTGTCCTATGTGACAAAAAAACAGATATAGCATGAACTTTAACATTCACCAAAATCTAAGGCAAGTTCAAAAGCATGTTCAATCAATGAAAATCATGACAATCAAAATCACAATTTAAACATCACACAAAAAATTAAGAATCCAAGGCACAAAAAGCCAATAGGCAAAGAGGAAGAAATTAACACACACACACACACACACACACACACACACACACACGTGTTAGGAATCATGAAACTCATGCATACAATTTAAACAGCACATGAATAGATAGTTTCAGAAAGTAAAAAGAAAAAATCTGACAAAGTTAACCACACTTTTAACAAACAACAAAAATATCATTAGGAGGGTATGATGAAAATAGAAAGAAACAAAAAAAAAAGCCTACAACTTATTTAAATAGATAATTTTTCCCAAAATTTAAAATTTCACACTTAAATAGTGAGTTTTATTCCATAAAGAGTAAATTTTCTCCTATAAGATCATACGATCCGAGAAGATTCTTTCGACATAAATTAGGCCAAACGAATATTTTATTATAGGAACTTCAAACAACTCAATACGGATGCATAAGATAAGCTCCTACAATTTGAGAAATAAGTGATCTCTCCCAAATCCTACAATTTGAGAGGTAGGAGATCTCTCTCAAACCCCGAGCCTAAGACTCGCAACCACAATCTCATGCAAACCCTAACTCTAAACATATTAGCCTATTTATACTGAACAATATTAAATGATGAATGACTAAATTGCCTTTGTACTAACAAAGATTAAATTACCCTCAGATATCGGCATAACATAGGATTGTTGTGCAAAAGAACATAAGGCATATATCACAAAAAGGTTGAAGTAAAAAAAGAAAAAAGAAAAATAGGAGCTTCAAGACTAAAATATGATTAACCAAAAGACGAGATTCAAAGCTTTGGATTTTACGGTAGATAACAAGGCAATTTACATAAAGTTACATCTCACCTCAAAATCACGCTTTGCCACATAAACTGGAATAAATGGCTGGATATTATTTGTCCAATCACGAAGATCGTCAAGTCCTGTAGCAAAATAATAATAATAATAATAATAATAATAATAATAATAATAATAAACAACTAAGTAAATAAATAATGCTAGTTGCTTTGAGATAATATTCACTGCAAACTCAATTAAATTACCCAAAATATGAATGGAAGTTTGAAACAATTCATCCAACTATTGGTTATTTCCCTTGAAAATGTAAAATGAAGGTGAAACTTGAAAGCCTAAATATTATGTTATTTCCCTTGAAAATGTAAAATGTTAAATGAAGTTAGAAACAATTCTTATATATTTACATATCTAATGCCTAAACTTTGATATTTACATGCATACCATTCAAATCTTTGACATTACATAAAAAATGCCACTGTTACTAATTTTTTAAAAGTGAAATACGCCTTTTCATGCAGTGTTATAAATATATATTTCAAACTTTAGGTGTTAGATATTTAATGTATAAGAATTGTGTGGTATGCATGTAAATTTTCCAAAGGTCAATAAATGTTAAGTGGTATAGAGTTTCAAACGCAATCTATTTTACTTCTCAAGATATTTCCTCAATGTAGAAAAATATTTGACTATCTAGAGTTTATATTAGATCTAGAGGATCAAGATTTATATCACAAGCCATCATAATTAATTATATAATAAATGTGATATTTGACAACACTTTTGATTAAGGACATCAAGTGGTCAAACTGATCAAGATTATAAAGAAAGGGGCGACAAAGAAGAAATCAGAGGATTGTCCCTATAAGCTTTTACCGTGTAGCTGCAGATAAGAAACGAACAGAGAAGAAAAAAAGGAGACACAGGTAGGTAATGCAGATAATGCTAGAATTTCCTTACTAGTGTTAACTTTAGGTATGGGCATTTATAAAGCTAAAAGAAGTGCGTATAAGGTATGTAAGAGAAAAAGGGTAATGATGTGTTAATAATTGAAAGTTGGTTGAGATATGATGTTGTGCCTTCCAAGCGAGTGGAGAGTTATTCTTTATGATCCCCGCTCAAGCTGATGCTTGGTTCTGTCGAAGTGTCAGCTTGTCTCGAAGTAAGGTGAAGCGGGGTGTTGTAAGCGACTTGGTGAAGATGTCCACTACTTGATTGGAGGTGGAAATGTAGTGGATGTTGATCTCCTTGGACATAAGTTTCTCTTCAACGAAAAGGTAATCGATCTCAATATACTTGGTGTGGGCATGAAATATTGGGTTGCGTGCAATGGCCTGAGCGGATGTACTATCACAATATATAACTGTGGGGGATTTAAAATCTTGGAGAAGTCGACAAAGCCAGATGACATCCGTGATGGCGGTTGAGAGAGTGTGATATTCGGCCTCAGAAGAATGTGCAACTGTTGGTCGTTTTTTAAATTGCCATGAGATGAGGTTGTTGCCTATGAAAGGGCAGTGACCTGTAGTAGAACGGTGGTCGTGAAGGGTCGTCTGCCTAGCTAGAGTTGGAATATGTTTGAAGAGTTAGGGGGCCCAGTGTGATGGGCAAGATTAGGTCGAGGGTGCCTTTGATGTAGCAGAGAAGCAGCTTGAGTTGGTGGAAATGAAGGCTTAGGGGCTGTTGGAGGTGTTGAGATAAAATGTTGAGAGCATAGGTGATGTAAGGACACGTAATTGTTAGGTACTGGAGAGATCCAATGAGTTATCGGTAAAGGAATGGGTTGGGGTAGGGGTGATTGAGTTCGGTGGGAAGGTTTTTGGAGGAGTGTATGGGGTTTGGTGTGGGTTTGCAATCAGCTAGGCCGGCTTTGTTAAGGATCTCCAACGCATAAGGTGTTTGAGGAAGAAATAAACCTTGATTGGTGTGAATAGTGGAAATGCCCAGAAAAGTAGAGACGAAACCCAATATTTTCATGGAGAATTTATGCTTCAACGTAGTAGTTTTTTTATGGCGTTGAGGTTATTACCCGTGACAAGAATGTCATCCCCGTGGAGTGATAGGTAGAGTGGTGGAATTAATGTGGAGTGCAAATAGAGAGGAGTCGACTTGGCTTGTGCGGAATCCAAGTTGGTGGAGATAACCTGTGAATGTACTAAAACACTAATGTGGAGTTTGTTTGAGATCATAGATGGCTTTCTGAAGGAGGCATTCATGTTTGGGGTGTTGAGAGTCGAGGTGGCTTGGAGGTTGTTGCTTCTAGATGGTCTGGTGGAGTTTGTCACGGAGAATGCGTTGGAGATGTCGAGTTGCATAATCTGCTACTCATGGTGGACAACAATGATTAAAAAAAGGCGTATGGTGGGAAGTTTCTCAACTGAAATGTAGGTGTCAGTGAAATGCAATCCAAGTTGTGCTAATAACCGCATGCGACCAGTCGGGCTTTGCGAGTGATGCTTCCTTCGGGGTTGCGCTTGATCTTATACATCCATTTGCATCCTAGGATGGGTTGATCGACTGGTGGAGGGATGGGTGTCTAAGAAGCTTGTTTCTGTAGTGTTGTGAGCTCTTCTTGCATGGCTTGTACCCAATGTGGAGAGTGCTTTTCTTCCTGAAACGTTAGTGGTTCATAATCGCGTGTAACGACATGCTGTGGATTGAAGATGGATTATGGTTTTAGTGAGCCTGTTTTGTATTGAGTTAGCATTGGGTGAGTTGGGGGGAAAGAAGGTTGAGTATGTGGAGTTTTGGTTGTACCGAAGATGATGTGGGAAAGGAGTTTGCGGTGATTGGTTCGACTGGTGTTGGAGATGAGGGAGTGGAGTTAGATATGGGGATGATAGTGGTAGGAAGGAGTGTAAAGGGAGGTGGGTTTGGATTGTATGTGATAGGTTGGCAGTGTTTTGGTGTGTGTTGGGAGAGATAGGAGTGTTCATTAAAGGTGTTTTGTCGGGAGATGAGAATTTTACCATTGGCGTGGTTAAGAAATTTGTAACCTTTGATACTATTGGAGTAACTGAGAAAAATGTTTTAAGCCGAACGTTGTTCTATTTTGTTGTGGGTGTGCGGGGGTAACCATGAAAAGCAAGCACATCCATAATTATGAAGGTGAGTTTAGTCAAGTGATTTGTTGTAAAGGGGTTGATATGGGAAGAGATGTTGAGTATTTGCAGAGGGCATGCAATTGATTAGGTATACGGCCGTGAGGATAGTGTCGGGCCAATATTGAGATGGTAGATTCGATGTGGCCATGAGTGCTTTGGCGGCTTCGAGGATATAGCGGTGCTTATGTTCTGCTAGGCCGTTTTATTCCAGTGTGTAAGGTGAGAAAAGATGATCCCACTACTTGGGCTTATTATATAAAAAATGATCTTAATTTACTAGAACTAAATGAAAATATGACACTAAATAGGACTCAATGGAGAAAAAATGATTCATGTAGCTGACCCCATATAGTGGGATTAAGGCTTTGTTGTTGTTGTAAGGTAAGGAGAATTGATGGATAAATGAAGGTTCCGGTATTCACAGCCACCGTCGGATCGTATGCATTTTATGTGTATATTGAATTGATTTTCAATTTATTGTTAAATTTTATGAAGTGGGTGAGAACTTCCGATTTGTGGGCCATGAAATTAACCCAAGTATAGCGTGTAGCATCATCCACAAAGATAGCATAGAAATAGAAGCCTTGATTAGAAATATGTGTGGAGGGTCCCCATACATCTGTATGAATAAGTCCTAGTGATTTGTAGGTATGATTTCTAGAGGGGGTGAAAGGTAGTCTATGAGATGTAGTACATTAGTTGCAAAATGAAATAGATTTTGGAATACATAAATGTGGTTGCTGTGTGGAAATAGAGTTGAGGATTTCTTTGTGGGGATGTTTGAGTCAATGATGCCAAAAGTCGACTGAGGTGAATTTTGAGAGCATAGCTTGTTTGGGAATGAGAACGGGGTAAAGTCCTTCACAACATAGGCCTTGAAGGATTGTTTATCGAGAGGTTCGATCCTGAATCTTGTAGCCGGAGGTGTCAAATAGAATGATACAATTGTTGTCAGTGGCGAGTTGGGAGATGGAGATAAGATTATGTGTAATTTGAGGAGTGTGAAATAGTTTTGAGAGAAGGAGCTTACAATATGGAGTTGGAAGTATGCCCGTGCCAAAGTGTTGTATGGGTACGGCATCACCGTTGCCAACGAAGACTTGATCGTGGCCACGATATTGCTCGGCTTGGTGAAGTGCGTTGAAATCAGTGATGAGGTGGTTGGAAGCACCGATATCTAAGTACCAATCCTGGTTTTGATTAGATGTAGTAACAAGAAGAGCACAGTGTTCCTTGGGCTTGGTAGGTTGATAGTTCATATTGAATCGGTGCCAACAGTGAGATGCGAGATGGCCCTTTTTGTAGCAGATTTGACAGGTACTTGATGCGGCGGAGTGTTGTTTTTGTTGGTGGTGTTGATCGGGTGGTTTTTTTTATGGGTTGGTATTCCTTCCTCATCCTCGGTAGTAGATGCGGTCGCGTCCTCGTTAGGAATAGAGAGCCATATGAGATTCTGATGACAGTGGATTAGTGTTTTTTTCATTGGATGCATTCATTTCATTGTTGTTGAGGGAGTAGAGGTCCTCAAGGCTGATAAGGGTGAGAGAAGTTAGGATAACAGTTTTGAACGCTTGGTAGGCCGGTGACGGTTATGTTGTCCACTATGACTTTGATTTGTGTCAAATATTGTGCCATGATTTGAGTCTTCATGGATACATTGTATAGCTCGTTTTTTAGCTGTATGACCTTGGATATGTTGGTGGCTTGTAGACGTTTCTCCAGTGTGGTCCAAATCTACCTGCAGCTCTCGTTATTCACGACATAAGATAGTATGGTATTTCATATTGTGGATAGTATAGCAGCTGCCAGAATTTGATCCACCAATATCTAGGTGTTGTGTGCTCGGTTGGGATGATTGCTTGAGCCATCGGCATTGAGTGTTGTGGTGGGTGGTTTGGAAATCGATCCGTCAATGAATCCAGCCATTTTCCTTAACGAATTTAAGGACTTGTGAGCACTACAAGGGATAGTTGTCGGTTGAAAGAGAGTAGGTGACCACAATTTTGATTTTTGAGATGAGGAACTTGGGAGAGGGAGGGATTGATTGTCTTCGATGCTGAGAAAGGCTAAAAGTTCATTGGGAGATGAGGAGGAGTCTTCCATTTGTATGGTGAGGCAAAGGGTCTCTGATATCATGTAAAGAAAGGGACGACAAGGAAGCAACCAGAGGATCATCCCTGTAAGCTTTTACTGTGTAGCTGCAGAAAAGAAACGAACAGAGAAGAAGAAAAAAAAAGGGGAGAAGCAGGTAGGTAAAGCAAATAATGGTAATACTTCCTTACTAGTGTTAACTTTAGGTACAGGTATTTATAAAGCTAAAAGAAGTGTGTAGAAAGTATGTAAGAGAAAAAGGATGATGAAGGTTTGATAACAGAAAGTTGTTTGAGATATGGTGTTGTCCTTTTCCAGTGAGTGGAGAGTTATCCTTTATGAAAAGTTCTATGTTTCATCACCATGGGTCAACTTGGTGGACTTAGCTACCGACAATAAGGGGCTTAGAAGTCATATCATCTTGGGAGTTTTATTTCTAGTCATAGTTTTCATTTTTTAGACATGTTGAATAGACTAAAATCAAGCATATTTACATATGAATGCCCACCTCAAGGCGGTATTTGGTAGCCTACTTTTAGAAGGATTACCATGTGGATTACACGTAAATCCACCAAACACAATTTTAGGATCGCTAAATCCTTCCGTTTATTAAATCCAAAATTTCCTATGACGTAACATAAATCATGGATTTAATAAATCCGATCGGTAGGTGGATTTAAGGGAATTACTTGCGTCTTCTCTCCCATTGTGTTGAATGTTGACAAAAAATGCCAAACATTTCTTATGGATTTAAGTGGATTTAACTTAAATAATACCAAACATAATTTTATATTTAACATCATTAGATTTAATAAATCCAGATTTATCGAATTTAGTATATCCTACTTAACTTAAATCCTAATTACAGCCAAACACCCAAAAAAAAAACAATAAGTCAAACATTTGCATTTGATAAAAGCAAATCATTGGGAACTTCACAAAAAATGGACAAATATAGGTCAGAATTTCTGCGGTAATTTGATGAATAGAGATAAGATTACAGTAATTCAATACAACAACAACAACAACAAGCCTTTATCCCACAAAGAGCGTGACAGTTCCGTAAATAGGAAAAAAATAAGACATTATAAAGAGATTTATTCCTTGTTTTATTCCATATTTTATTTATGGTTTTTGTTGCTATGGCATAATTAAATCATTCATCTTAGGATATGATAGCCCTGTAATTTCTTCTTTATCTGTCCTTTCCTTGAAAGAGATGACGGCCGTGAAACTCTATGTCTAAGCAACAAAGGCTCCATTGAAATTTCTATAAGGCTATATGAGGAGATCGTTGGTGAGTCACAACACTACTTCAATGACAAGGAACAACCTCACGGTTTGCTAAAACAAGATAATCAAATACCAAAACAGTATTTTTGTAACATAGATTAATTGAAAGAAACAATCATAATAAGGCATGACAATAAAACAAAATGTTTCCTGCAAGAAATAATTTCTTTTTGGTAGAAATTGAGCAATGAGACATAAAAATGCTACTAGACCATTGTCTTCTTAGAAGTAAATAATTAAATATTGATTATTTTCATAAAAAGCAATAAAACTCAAGTGAGTTGCATGGTATGGACCTCCAATTGCATCAGCATGAGAATGTGTAATTATGACTGCATCAATATTTCTCAACCTGAAAGACATTACAAAAGCCAAGAAACTGAATTTTCCATTGATCTTGACAGCTTCATTGGATAATTATTAAATTCTATAAGTATAAAATGATTACAAAAAATCCATTTTAAAATAGTGAAGGAAATGGGATATAACAAGACCATTTTTATACGATCGCAGATCAAACCAGAATAAAAAACTATGATGTAGTTTACCTAAGCCAGTCAAAAGTTTAGTGGCTATTCAAGAGCTGAACAGCAGATGAAGTGAGAATTTATTCCATAAGGTGCAAGGATTTATTTGTTTTAGAGTTAGAAATATAGTTTGCCACCACATATATAATGATAAATTACTTGGAATTTTTTACTTCTGTCAACTTTGTCTTTAAGAATTATTCTCTTTTAAATTATTTCCCACAAAATTTTCAGCATTTATTTCTGCTTAGACAAAACTAAAAAATAAAAAAAATGGGGCATTTACATACATACCACCCTGTTCCATTACATATGTAACACTTCAAATTTATTTTTTATATTTGTACTGCCCAAATATTTCATATCACATAAAAAATACCACCATTCTTACTTTCTAAAAGTGAAATACACATTTTCAAGCATAGATGAGATGGTATATATCTAAAAATTGAAGTTTAGGTGTTAGTTATGTCAATACATAATAACTGAGTGGTATCCATGTAAATCTTCCAGAAAAAAAAATCTAAAGAAGCTTTACCAATTTTTTGTTTGATAAATATATCAAATTTATATTCATGAATATGATGCAACAGTAAAACAAATAGCAATGACATTATCAAAAAATCATAATTAGCACAGAACTAAAGTCAAGTGGTTATATTTGCAAAATGCAAAATCAGTGCATGCTAATATGCAAAATCAGTGGTTATAAAATAAAGTTAAAAAAAATGTTCCAGCATATGATATCCATATGACTAATTGAATGCTTACCCGAAAGTAGGAAACCACCGCAGAGCACTATGGTAGAAAAATCTGCAAAGCACATTGAAGAAGATGAAGTAACAGGGATCATTAGACAAAAAATATTCAGAGATAACCAATAAATGTACTGAAGTCAATATTGAAGTATTTAAGCTTAGAATAACAAAAAAATATATGTAACCCATATTTTCAATCCAAATTAGAGTCTTCCGCTTTAAATATATAATCTTTAGTCGCGTGCTTGAAGTTATAAGAAAAAAAACATGAAAAAAAAGGAAAATTTACATACATATCACTCAATTCTTATGTATTTACATTTTTACCACCTAAACTTCAATTTTTACATACATGTCACCTTACGTATGCATGAAAAAAGGTATTTTACTTTTTAAAAGTGTTGGTATTTTTGATGTGACACGAAAGATTTGGATGATAGAAATGTAAATAGTAAAATTTAGGCCTTATAAATACATAGGAATTGGGTTGTATGTATATAAATGCCCCTAACTTTTATATACTTAACTTATATAATTAATAAATTATAAGTCATGCTTTAAACATTCGTAGAAAGTTTTATGTTTGTATTGCTATGATATATAACGTTTAGGAACAAATTGATGGTATAGTTTGTTTTGTCACATTTCTTCTTTAGTATAAATTAAAATTTGCTCATATCATTCATAGACTCATCCCTTGTTCATGAGTTATGACATAACATGCATAAAAGCTATGCTAGCGTACATAAAGGATATGATTCTGGTAGTATCCTTCCATTGATATTGTGCTTAGCTTGGTTGGCGGGCTCGTAGAGTAATGACTCTTTTGAGAGGGGTTGATGGACTCAATTAGAGTCGTGAAAACCCTGATTCTAATTTAAGGTTGTTTGGATCTTTTTTATTATTTTTTTTCTTTTATTTTTAAAAACATATTTATTTACTGAGCTTTTTTACATATTTTTTATTCTTGTTTCGAAAAATAAATTAACAAGTTTTTAGAAATACTTAAAACAACTTTTAGTTTTTTTTTAGTGTTTTTAAAAATAATTATACCTTAATCAAATAGCCAAACATATTTTGTTTCAAATTAAAATATAAAAAAGAAAAATAAAAATAACAATTATAAAACATAAAATAACAGTGATCCCCAGCGGCCCATTAGGGTACTATGAGAGGCTTGATTATAAAGCATAAATATAATCAATGACTTTTGATTCATTTTTGGATCTATAAATAAGAGTTGTGTGCATGCTGAAAAGTTAACATTTACATGCATTGGCTATCAATATCTAAATGTTTAATTATAACTCTATTACATAGTTATCATTATTATGTAGTTTTCATCTCTAATAGTTTGTCAAATATTTTTTGCAATGGAAGTAATACTTATAATCCATGTTATTAAAAGAGAGCTTTAGGAGTGATGCAAAACAATGTGTTAGCCAACCACACGCTTGTCTGTGAAGTACATGCTCGTAGCAAAATGCATTATCACGTTGAGCTTATGCTCAATTTTGGGTCAAAAACAAAATTTTGATTTGTATTTCTTGGTCTGATTCAAAAACTAGAATAGCTAGGCACGAACATTCGCTAAACCCAGTGTTTCTTGTAATCATTGAATCTTTACACAGTCGTTCTTTGTTCTTTTTATTGAGTTAGTTTCTTTTGGTGGTTCCTCTCTTTATGTGCTCTCAATTGCTAGTTTTATTATACTTTTAGTTGGTCTTTTTCATTAATGCTAGCCCAAGCTTCTTCACAAAAATATCTCCCAATTTCACTTCTTTATACTCCATATCAGTAATATGGCCTCATTTCACGCTCTATTTCATTCAAAGGAAGAAGGAAGAAGAATATCAACAATAAATTCAACGTAATAATCAAATTGGCACAAACTCAACTCTTTCTAGATTTGTCACTTCGTGGTATATCTTTATGACTAGCGCGATCCAAAAGCTCACCATCAACATTATAAAGGTATAATGTGACTAGAGTTAAATTGAAATCACAATTAACCAATGAAGATATATCTAACCATAACAATGATCAACATATTAGCATTAAAAAAGTTAAAAATTATGAAAAATATAACAAAAATTATGTATTAGTCAAGTATAAGGATTACAAATAGCAATGAGGACATTAGATCCTTCACAAATTTTGAGATTCTTAAAGTAACCAATGGTTGTGATAGCAGTGAAATAAATAACAAGTAAAACTGAGCATACTTGCCAACATCAACAAGAATGTTAAAGCTTCCATTATCACTAGTGTAACGGATAACGATGCTCGTGTTGCGTCTCCTATTCTTACTGCCAGGCTCAGTCGCTTTTAGGCAGACCTGAAACAGCCAATCAGCACTGAAAATCATAAAGAATGAGATTTTCAAAGGAATTAATTCAAGCTAGTATAAAAAGACAAATATTATCTTCATACCTTGCAGCTTTTTGAGGGATTAGTGAGGCAGCTAACTCGAGGGATACCTTCGCTGGTTCCTGTGCCTAAGAAAATAATTTCAGACTGTTCTGCTGTTTTTTTAATATCTGTATCTCTACTTATCAAGCCTGTGTAGAAGATGACAAACTAGTCTCAGACAAAAGATAAGAGTAGAGTAGAGTGCCAAAATAGTCCCCATTGACCGTCCATATTGGGCCATTCAAATTAATCCCTAGACCTTAAAATAGGTTAAAATAAACCTTCTTGGAGACTATTCCAGACTATTTCAGCACCTGCGGACTAAATTGTCATTTTATAAACTCTGGGACTAAAATGAACTCTTGCAAAAAGTCAGGGATCTATTTTAACAATTCTCTCGAAAAAATCTATCAAAATTGAACTAAGAAAAAAAATATCAAAAAGTTTTCTTTCTTTTCAAAATTCCACAGTGTTAATCCTGCATCATAAATTTATAACATTGTCCAATTTTTCTCATGTTTTAGCCTTTTTCATAAATTAAACAAACAAAAAAGAATAGCTCTAGATTGTAAATGAGCTTGATTATAAAGTGTTTGGAGTAAACAAACTATCTAAAAGTGAATAAACTCAAAATTAATCATTAGCAATAAATAAGTACTTCCTCAGGAAATCAAATGAGAAGTGCATGAGCATGATGAAAGAATGAAAATTAAGCTAGCAAATAAAAAAAAAGGCAACAATGAAGTAGTTATTATTCTTCAAAATTTTTATGTCCTCAATAATAATTCTTTAAGCATTTCAAAACTTGGTTTGAAGTTAGGGAAAATGTGCCAACCCGGGTAGAAAATTTGCAATAAAAATTGGAGAATAGTTGGATACATGCCTTACTTTTAGCATTTTACATAATAAATAAGCAATTTGAAGGATAATTTACCACTTCTTCTGAAAAAGAAGGAAAAAAGAGGATTAAGAAATACAGGGTTTTTCCTTTTTTTATTTTTGTTTCATGAATTCTCGCACTAGCAATAGTAGGACTCTTCGAAAGCAGATCATTAACTGTATAAATGTGTCTAGGGCTGTAGACGAGCCAAGCTTGAGCTCGTGTGTTCGGCTCGTTCGAAATAGCTCGTGTTCTAAATCGGCTCGTGAACAGTGTATTCGTGTTCGGCTCGATTTAAATATTCGTGTTTGTGTTCGACTTGAAATTGGTTCGTTAAAAATAAATTGAAAAAAATAAATGTAAAATGTGAGATTCAAACCTAGACCAAATATATACAAAAGAAGACACTAACCACATTACTACATGAGGTATTATGATTTAAACTTAGATATAAATATATATAATATATTATCATATAAATAATATATGTAATATATTATGATATAAATAATTATATAAATTTTTTTTTTATTTCGAGCTAAAACGAGTTGAACATGACCAAATATATACAAAAGAAGACACTAACCACATTACTACATGAGGTATTATGATTTAAACTTAGATATAAATATATATAATATATTATCATATAAATAATATATGTAATATATTATGATATAAATAATTATATAAATTTTTTTTTTATTTCGAGCTAAAACGAGTTGAACATGAGCGAACAAAGAGCTGTTCTTGTTCGGCTCGTTTATAATTTGAGCTTTAAAAACTTATTCGTGTTGTTCGAGAAACAACGAGCTTTTTTGACAGCCCTACTCTTCGTGACCAAAAAGAGTTCAGAAGGCTTCCATTCTAAGGTTACAACGATAATTCATCAATGATGAATTGGATAACCAAAGGGTTTCTTAGGCTATAATGAGGATTTAATAAATCTTGTAAATCCAAATTTAAAAAATTGCGGATGAGTGATATTCTAAAAAATTGTTTGGCATGATAAATGTTAAAACTTTAATAATTATTTTCCAAATATTTTTAAACTCTAGGATAAAAATGAAGGAGAAGAAGTATAGTGAATAAAAGTAACATAAATCACTTAAATCCAACTTCTTTTGAGATTTACTAGATGCAAGTTTAAGTGTAAAATAGGAGGAAAATGGGATTTAAGAATAAAATGCAGCTTATGTGGCTAAAAAAAAAATTTGGAAAGATTTAATCTAAAACTATAAATCATGGCTAAATATTGGCTAAATCTTGCAACAACCCTCGACATTCTTAGCAAGCTTTTCCAATACCACATGCAAAAGGCTCATCAGACAAGCAAAGATGCTCAATATTTCAGATACAAATAAGTCAAAACCCATCACCTCACCCCTGAGGCCAATCAAGAGGGAACTTACATGCATATCACAAATTATACATTTATATATATGCCATCAAAATTAATTTTTTTTTATATAACTCTCAAAATTTTAAGATCACGTCAAAAAGACGACTGATATTAATTTTTCTAAAATGAAACATCTTTTCGGGCATATGTTTTGATTTGATTGTGATGCTAAAGTATTCTATAAGTGAACATTCAATTTTAGATACTAAACATACAGATACATAAGGAATTTATGTGGTATATACATATAAGCATAATTAAATATATTGCGATCTCCTAAGGATCTCAAAATTCCAAGCAATTATCATTGCAAGATATTTGAGTGCCAGAAGCTAAACAATGAAGCCGAACTCCAATAAGAATTCATTTGATTGCTTCAATCCTTAAAGTCCTATTTGGCATCATTTTTATTTTTATTCTTTTTTTTTGTTTTTAAAAATATATTTGATTAGCATAATTGTTAGCCATTTTATTATTTCATTTTTAAAAATAAATCACCTTATTAAAGCACTCAAAAAATTTAAATTTGCTTCGAGTGCTTTTAAAAAAACTTATCACAACCAAATATGTTTTAATTCAAATCAAAATATAAATGAAACAAACACAAAGAACACAAGTGATCTCAAACTTCCCTTTTGAGTTAAAGATCATATTTCAAGAAAAAAAGTCATTTTTTTTTTCCAAATTCACCATTGTAATTAGACATCAATAATGTTCCTAAACTCCATAACTCTTGCCAAACATCATAATTTCATCTTCACCCTCAATCTAAGTGAAAACATAAAATCACTTTTTCCCCAACCAAATGAGCAAGTAATCGCATGAGAAAATAAACAAAGAGCCCTCTGAGGAAATAAAGCAAACAGGTTATCCGCGATAGCTTAGAGATCACCATAAATCAAGAAAGAAAGGTTGGCTTACTGCAACAAAAGCGATTCTGATTAAGCCGTCGATCGAGAACGCAGAAGCGCCGACCGACAAGTGGCGCTCTCCATCCGGCGCGGAGGAGAAAGCCGGAAAAAGGACCAGCGAGTGGCAGCAGGGAGAGCAACACCATCGAATCGGCTGCGGCCTGCCTAACTACTCATTGGTTTTATTCATATTAAAGAAAGTGATGTGAAAAACGTGAGCTAAGTAGCACGGTGTAGCGCAGGGCACGGGGGTATTTTGGTAAAAGCGCATTTATAGGGCCCAAAAAAATTCCTTCCGAAAGTCCGGACGGCCGACGACCGGCCGTCATGTCGTCTATGATGTGTATGGCGGTGTGACGGTCGGTGATTAGTCATCCGTTCGCACGGTGTCCGAACGGAATATTTTCTCATAGAGATGAAATGTATATGATGTGTTTGAAGCTGTCGTTGGTGCTTCTTTTTTTGTAAAACTATTTTTTATCCGTATTTTAAAAAATTTGCAACTAAAAACTATATTTTCTAGCCATATGTGACTACTTATGTTTGTTGCTAGAAAGTTATTGTTGACTGTAGCTTAGCGATAACTTTGTCTGCTTCTTCAAACAGTTGTAGCTACCCAAACAAACTCTTAACTTGAATTCAGAGAAAATATTACATGAGGTGCACGAATATAGAGTAACAAAAGAGGTACAAATATTTGAAAATGTCTCTTTTTTACAAATTTTATGCTTATTTAGAACGAGGTTCAGATCACTCTCAAATATAGAAAAGGCATAAATCTAATATATTTATGATATAAATTAAAATATTATTTCTTATTATGTTATTATCATATTAAAAATAATTGTATTATTATATTTTACACATGCATATTATTGGCATTTATTTTAATGCAAACAATATACTTATTGACATTGGAACATTTACATACACACGACACAATTCCCATGTATTTACATATCTAATAAATAAACTTTGCATAACCAATTTTTTTCATATTTAGTGTTTGCATCATTATAAGTAATTAGTTAATAAAATATATTGGGCATGTAACACATAAACATAAGGTAAATCTTAAAGTATGATAAGGCATGATTAAATTGCATAATAACTTTATATAGTATTAATGACTCATGATGATAAAATCATTTCTAAAATTTGGAATTGTCACAAAAGCCCAACCTTGGGTAAAAATGTAAAGCAAATTGACCTTGTCGGCTTCCACGTAATAGATGAGAAAGTTTACGAAAGCAACATTTAATTAATAAAATACTATTTAAATAATAATAATAATAATAATTGGCAATTAAATAATTCAATAAACTACACACAAGATGATGATTCTTCGTCTAACTATGTTTTCACATTTATGTAATCATACAATTGATTGATCTAAAAAAGATTGGTCGGAGGCTATTATACGAGTCACACGACCAATCTCATGTGTCGAAGAATTTCATCCTGCACATGGGCGAGATCGAACTATTAGCTCATAGGTTTTATAAACTGTCAACTAAAATTAAGAAAATAGACTGCCATTTACATGTATACCACCCAATTCTTGTGTATTTACATATCTAACACTTAAAGTTTACTTTTTTTTATATATTTTTAAATTAAAAAAAAATAAATACACGTTAATTTATATGCATAGAACTCAATTTTTATGAATTTACAAATTACATACGAAAACTTTCATTTTTACAAATACATCAACCCAATTTATCATTCATCACATTTCTTGATTGTGAAATCCACATTTTTCACACGTAGGTAAGGTGCTGTTTGTAAAAAAATATAATTTTTGTTGTGAGGTGTAAACTTATGAATACATAGAAATTGAGTGGTATGTAAGTAAATCTCCTCACCAACCTCTCTATCTAGTAGGGCTGTAAACTAGTTCGCTCGAGCTCAAGCTCGTCTCATGCTCGGCTCGTTCGAAACTACTCGTGTTCGAAATTGGATCGTGAACAATGTATTTGTGTTCTGCTCGATTTAAATATTCGTGTTCGTTTTCGATTGAAAAGCTTTAAAAATTTATTCCTATTAGACTCGTTTACTCAATGCCAGCCCAACACAAGCTGTTCACAAATAACTACTTTATTGACAGCCCTAATATCCAGAATTATTACATCCGTATAGCATTTCCGCCGGAAAACTCAGTACAAGAATCCCCGTCCCAACAAACAGAAGGGGTAGTCTACGTTCCTCGGAGGCCCCAACTCCGGCGAACTCATCTCCGCCATGGAGAACTCGCCGCCGCCGCAGCCGCCGTATTTCCTCTCTTCTCCAGCCAAGCAGTTGGATCCCCGGCCGCAGGGATCCCCCGCAAGCTTCAAAAGCAACGACATGATCTGGATCGGCTTCCGTTCCGTGACTTGCAGCCTTCTGTTCACGTCCTCGATCTCCTCTTCTAAAGCCTTCTGTTCCTTCTTCAATCTACCCAACTCCACCATCAGCGATTCTTCCTCCTCCTCCTCATAATTTCCTTCTTGCCTCTTCATTTTTCGGCCGATTTGATCCGATTCGCCCCTTTTCCTGCGCCGAACGATGAGCGGGAGGAGGTGGATCTGGCCCTTAAGAAACGATTCGTGGGCGAATTCGGATCGGTCGGGATCTACCTTGCGGAAACCCTAGAAAAGTAGGGATCAGAAAGTGTTATTAAGTTGTGAATTGAAGAAATAGATTGAGAGGGAGGAGTGGTTAGGGTTAAATACATAGGTGTTGAGCTGGCGGATGAAGCTGGATAAATTGGAGTGCTTGAAGTAGAAGGGGAGAAGCGTTTGGGAGAAAAGGGAGGGTTCGAGAACCAGGAATGTATTGTTCTGTTTCCCCCATCGGATGAGGTTGTTCGTGCTCGGATTGTTTACCATCTCGTACATCTTTGCCACGAATGGAGCCAGATGCTTCTCCTGCTGCATAGCTCTCCCTGCTTCAGTCCCTGGATGGAGACTGGATGAGCCCTCTCTCTCTCTCTCTCTCTCTCTCTCTCTCTCTCACACACACACACACACACACACACACACACACACAAACACACAGAAGAAGAAGAAAACGAAGAAGACGAGGAGGAGTTGGGAGGAAGAAGGAGCCGTAGGGTTTATGGAGGCGGAGAAATAGCGACGCGCGGAAGGCGGTAGGAACTGGAGGGTCAAAAACTCGGACGCGTGTCTTAATTCTATTGGGCAATAATTTTGATTTGGAGAAATTATTGGTACAAACTGGGAGTATCACGTCGCCATGTTCTAATTATTAGGCACAGGCGCACACCCGCGATGCAGCCGCAGTCATCGGAGGGCGCGCGAAGCTCTGCATGCGCCCTCCGCACGTAATAATTGCTCGTCGCCATGTGCATGAATTTGTTGTGATGCTGGCGAGAATTTCAATATATTTGACACAAATTTTTAAGTATTTTTTTACTAAAAAAATATTAAAAGTTAAATAAAAATTTATAATTATATTTATAATTCAATTTATGATGTTTATAATTAAAACTAGCATCGCGCCCATAGTAATCTAATGAGCTAAAGGTCCCCTAATTTCAAGTTTAGTAAGGCCATCAAATCATTGAAAAATCTTTTATGATCATGAAAAATCGATGTGCCTCGTTCAATCGGATGGTTGTGATAATTATTCGTCAAAGAACGAAAATACTCCTCATGCAAAGCCTATAAATAGTCTCTCTCTTTTGAAGAGAAAAGTGAGGAAAAAGAAGGAACCCATTTTTGTGATGTTCGAGATTAAACACCCAGCTAATAGGTCTCGACCATTTGTAGTCATTGGCTGCTGCTCGTTGTTGACCAATGCTTACCGTCCCCTGCTCGCCACCATCGCTCAAGTTCGTGAAGTAACAAAGTACTCTATAGAGCAACGACACACATTGCAAAATAACGAAGTATCACTCGTCGAGAATCGCCTACCAGCCATCTTTGATCACCACCGACTGTCCTATGCTCGTCTTTGCTGGTGATCTTTGTTATGTAACGGTGTATCCCTAAATACGATGTAATGAAATATCTTTGATGTATGATAGAAAAATTGTGGCGGTAGAGTAATAAATTATCGTCTTAGCATTGCATGAGAATTCAACACGTACTTATGTGAAAGAAAACAACCAATAATGACACAAAATATTTCTGTGTGGAAAAACCTTCCCCCTACCCCCACCCCTCTCATAAGGAGGGGGTGCCCTAGGAGAGAACTTGAGGCATTGAGAAAAAGCTGAAGTCCAGCACCACTATTGATAGCTGCCGACCACCGTAAACCGACGTTAATCACCACTAACTGTTGTAGACACCCCCCCGACTACCATCAATCGACCACTACTGACCATCTTTGAAAATCACTAATTGTCATCGAGCACCACTAAGCAGACACTGTTATTATAAAACTTGAAAAAATCTAGTAACTTTATCCCGTCAATGGAATAATGGATTGTTGTAATCATGAATTAACAAATGAATTTTATAACTCGATCAGACCCCATGTTTTTTTCCCTTTACAAGTTTTTTACGTAAAAATTTCTGGTGTCATCACTGGTTATTTTTCTTTCATATGAATGTGTATTGAATTCTCGAGCAGTGCTAACACGATAATCTATTTCTCTACCGCCGCGAATTTTCTAACACGCATCAATCATGAATACGGTATAATAGAGTTTCAAATGCGATGCAATGAAATATCTCGAACATCGGGGTAATGAAATACCCTGAATCTCGAATACGGTGTAACTAAATATCCAGAGCATGGAAAAACTTACATGCATATAACAAAAATATTTGATATTTATACATCTGATACCTAAACTTTCATAATTACATTTATAATGAAGTAGTTTAATAAATCTATACATGGGATGGTTTTTTTGAATTTGTAAAAGAGATAGTTGAGATATTTTGATATAAAATTAAATACTTGAGCCTCTGCTTGTAAATACTGAAATTTGGTATATTTAAATATATAAATATATAATTTATGTAAATATCTCTTACTTTTAACGTTCGTTTTTTTTTTCTCTCTGCCTTTGATTTCTAATTTAATAATCTCTCATTATTATGTCGGTTAATTAAAATAAATTACAATTAAAGTGGGTGCATAAATAATTTAAATTATTTTAATCTAAAAATTTATTGAAGGCACGTGAGCACGTGACTTCCCTTTGATAATAATGCAGCTTTATTAGAAAAACCTAGCCGAATGCCCGAAAACGTTACGATGACTGCGATTCGGTCTCTGTGCCGGAAGTATCGGATCTAGTGGCGCTCAACACTTTTTTATGATCGCCCAATATTTGGGTATATTTACATTTAGTAGGTGCTAGACTATTCACATAGATAGAATGATATTTTAATATTTTGGTGTTATATAAACACAAATGAAAAGTAAGTAGTACGAGGAGATCATAATTTTTATAAGGGAAAAAATAACGAGGTCTAACTCAATCGTAGTAATCCACTATTTAATTGTAAGTATATAAGTTCACTCTTCTCTTGAATTAAAGAAGATAAAATTACAAAGTTATCACTATAAATATGCAATAGTGATTCAGTCATATTATTTGTAATTGACAAATATAGTTAATCATGAAGATTATAATCAATGGCTACAATATTGACAGTTGGACACAGACTACAATTAAAAGATAACAGTAGTAGAAACAACTTTTATGTTATATTATACTAATTATTTTTATTTAATTAATAATTAGGGTTCAACTTATAAGAAAATTTTGAATTCAACGTCCTCTTTGAAGTACAATGAGCATGAACATAAACCTCATATATGAAGTTGCATGTAGGTCCCACATGTAGACATATATGCAGGGGCTAGAAAGTATATAGCATTAGAGAAGGGTCTAATGAAAAAAGTTACACCAAGCTCATAATTTACTCAAATATTTACACTTGACATGATATTCTACAATTCACTTGCAACATATTCAATTCATTAATAATATTTACTACTAAACCTCATAATTAAACAAAGAGCAAAATTTTCTCCCTTTTTAATTATGTTCATAATTTCTAATCATATATGAGAATCGGAGAATTAAATATATACCATTTAGGCAAATTTTTAACTTAACAAGCCCATTAGATTACGATCGATCAAATTGGAGTGTTATAATTGGTATGTTGAGTTGACTAATATATCATCTGATCCCCTTGGATAGATCAGACTTGAATCCATGAATAGTCCATCCGATATTCATATAAACATAGTGAGCCAACACAACTAACAATGTATTCTATTATCCCTATATTTCTTATCATGTAGCATTTGTTATGGCACCCAAAAACTCAAAATTCTCAAATAAATATAGAATTTTGATAAGAGCTAATAAAAAGAGTCTAAAGGCTAATTTGACATTTTTACATCTGCAAAGAGTTTTTTAAGGAATAGCCAGAGGACATTATACCTGCCTCCAACCACCCCTAATGTGCCTAACAATTCGAATACTACCTCCTTAAGGTCAACTGTGTCAGAGGAGATTCGAACCCCCGCCTGAGAGGCCTTATACCATGGATGCCAACCAACAGACCGGGGTACATGACACAACCCCTGCAAGGAGCTAAAAGAGACTATTTTGACATTTTCTCAATAAAAGATACATTTCAACATAATCATCAAGATTATTAAAAAAAATCCTCCGAAAAAAAAAAAAAAAAACACAACACACATCAAAACAACACCAATAAATAAGTCTCAAAATAATCAGTCTAAATTGATCCCACAATATAAAAGATATTACATAATCATACCAAGCTTTATTGTTTCACTACATATGTTAGCACTATTTATACACAATGACCTGCTTTCTAGATTTGAGAATTCAAATTGGTTCCATTACAAAGTAAAAGGCTCATAACAACCAAAATAAGCAGCCAGCAAATCTATCTAAAATGGCATTATGGCAGTAAAACAAGTGAGAAAAATCTTACCTTGCTGATAGCGCCATTGCCAGGCCTTCCTTCAAACAGAGCATAATACTCGTAAGTCCTCACCGCTCCTTCTGCAGTTCCATTTCGTCATTCTCGGTTCTTATCGGACGAAAAATCAGAGAGAGAGAAAGACAGTTAATCTTCAACAATATCCCAAATTCAGGTTGCAGGACCTGCAAGAAGTCTTAGTAGTGCACTCTCTCGTCACCAGCAAAATTGAGACCTTCGATGCCTTTAATGGCGGACTCGTAGGTCGTAGGCTCAACAGAACGGAGGGGAGGACTTCTCGGAGGGCCAGAAACTTTGCGGAAAGTTTGAGGGCTCGAATCAGAGGTAAATATTCGTTTTGGGATTGTTTCGCTGCATCCCAACACATCTCCTCTGCTGGAGATAGCAGCAGGTCTTGAAGAACCGCTCGGCCTTGCCAAAGAGGTTGAATATAACTGCATAAATGGTGAAGTCTACTTACTGTTTTGGTAAATAGATAGATGCAACAAACACGCGGATATAAATTGTACGGAAGATTTACATACATACCAATCAATTCTTACGTGTTTACATAGCTAACCCCTAAACTTCAATCTCTACATATGTGCCCCCTTAACGAGGCATGAAAAGTTGTATTTCATTTATTTTTAAGGATAAAACGATGGTATTTTTTATATGATATGAAAGATTTGAGTGTAAAATATAAAATGTAAAATTTAGACGCTAGATACGTAAATAGAACAGAATTAGGTGGTATATAAGCAAATGACCCAACTTGTAAAAAATTTACAATAAATGTTGCTGGGAACGAGGGAAGACTTGTTTGAATCAATGAGAAAGAAATGAATAGAAAATAACATTAAGAAATTTATTTAAATTCGTTCGATTGATGGCACTGTAGATTTCATTATGATTTTAGTGAGTTTAATAGCTCTAATTTCTTAGATAACTTAAAATTGGCACCCCCTTTCTGTATAAGGGGAAAAGTTAGATTTAGCTCAACAAATGTGTACATCAGCCTTGATATAATACTTAGATGATAACAGGAACGAGAAAGGAAAATCAACAAGTCATAACTTGTATTGTTTCTCAGGGCATTTACATACTTATCACACAATTCTTATGTATTTACGTATCAAACATCTAAACTTTCATATAGAATTATAACACTCAAAATTTTATCACATAAAAAAAACCTCAATCATTAACCTTTTAAAAGCATAATACACCTCTTCTTGCATATATTTATGACACCAAAATATCAAGTCTAAACATCAAACTTTAGGTGTTAGACATGTAAACATCAAACCAGATCAAAATTCTCTAGTGTATGAATAAAAGATTGGTTTTTTCTTGTGAGTGATTGAATCAAATAGCTCAGGCACTGCAAGGCCAGATATTTAGCAGTTATGACAGTTCAACTTTATTATAAAGAGCACTAGAGCTGCAAACAAACCGAATCGAGCAAAGCAGGAGCTAGTTTCACTCAAGATGTTTAATAAAAATCTAATCAAGATTGGTCGTTCAAGCTTCTGGGATACTGTTCAGGTTTGATTTACTTAAATTCATTATTGTTTAAGCTCAACTTGAACTCGGCTCAATACAAGCCTGCATGCCCCACATGCCGATCACAATGCTCAAATTGGTTTATTTTAACTTTCCATTTAAATAAAAGTTATATTATATCTCTTCTTGATTTGGAAGTAAAAGAATAAAATTATATATATATATATATATATATATATATTTCAGCTTTAACGTGAAAGTGGAAGGAGTGTATGTATATACTGGTTTTTTTAATATATGTATTCATATTTTTTTTTAATTATTTTTGTTTTAATTAATATGAACTTCAAGTGAAGATTTTAAGATGAAGGGTTGTAAAATAAAGAAGAGATCGTTGGGATTGTAAAGATTGTAAGGTCATTCCAAGCGAGAATTTAAGTTTCCAACATTGCTTATTAGTTCTAGATTTTAAGATGAAGGGTTGTAAAATAAAGAAAACAAAGACTTATCATCGTAGAATTATATGAGGAAACCTAAAAGACACAAATAAAATCATTTTTATGAGTAAAATTCAAGATTCAAAATTTGGCATGTTCATGAAGAAGCAAATGTTATGTGGGATAAAGTAACAAACACTATTAAACAAGTAGCACAAGTTGTGCTTGGAGAATCAAAAGAAAAAGGTTTTATAAATCAAAATAGTTGGTAGTGAAATAATAATGTGTAAGAAAAGATAAAATCTAAGAAATTATGTTATAAAAATTGGTTTAAATGTAAAAACTTAGAGAACTAAGAAAAATATCAAACGGCCCGCAGGGAGTCTAAAAGAACAATCTGTGACGCTATAAATTTTGCTTTTAATGATCTTTATAATAGATTAGATACTAAGAACGGTGAATAATATGTGTAAACTAGCCAAACAAAGATAAAAAAAAAGTAAAGATTTGACTCAAGTAAAGTGTATAAAGATGAAAATCAAAAAGTACTTTTCTTAGAAAAAGTATTCAACATAGGTGGGTGATTTTGATAAACTTTTTAATGAAGTTTCTGAAAATATGATCGACCTTAGTAACTTTAATATCGTGAATAATAATAAAATGTTTCATTCTTACCGTCACATTAGTAAAAAAGAAGTTGATGAAGCTTTAAAGAAAACCAAGGGTGGAAAGTCTGTAGAACCTTATGATATCCCAATTGAAGTGTAGAAATATTTAGGAGATTTGGGAGTTTCTTGGCTTACTACTTTAATATTATTTTAAAAATTAAAAAGATGCCTGAGGAGTGGAGGAAGAGTATTTTGATCCCAATTTTTAAGAATTAAGGGGATGCACAAGAGTGTGTAAATTATAGAGGAATTAAGTTGATGTGTCATATTTTAAAGTTATGAGAGAGAGTAATTGAATATAGGTTAAGACGCATTAAGAAAATTTCTCATGATCAATTTGGATTTATGTCGGGCAGGTCTACTATGGAAGCTATACATTTATTGACATTTATTATGGAGAAGTTCAGAGATAATAAGGAGAATCTACATTTGATTTTTATTGATTTAGAAAAAGTTTACAATAAGGTATTTAGAAAAAGTTTACAAAAGTTTACAATAAGGTTTCAAGAGATATCCTTTGGAGAGTTCTTGAGAAGAAAGGTGTTGATATGACTTATATTCCAGTCATTACTAGAGTTGTTATTTGTGTTCAAACAGGAGGATTGACCAAATATTTTCCTATTTCTGTTGGATTACATCAGGGATCCGCTTTAAGCCCATATCTTTTTGCTTTAGTTATGGATGGTCTTACTGGACATCTACAGGAGGAAGAGGATGTACCTTGGTGTATGCTTTTTGCTGATGATATTCTTCTCGTGGATAAAACGAGAGAAAAAGCCCAGGAAAAAACTTGAAATATGGAGGTCTATATTGGAGTCTAAAGGCCTTCATTTAAGTAGAACTAAAACTGAATACATGGAATGTAATTTTAGTAGTAGTAACTCTACTAACAAAAGTGTGATTTTGGGTGATCAAATTATTAAAAGGTGTGAACGATTTAGATATTTTAGGTCCGTTGTTCAACGAAATGGTGATATAGATGGGGATGTTAATAGTAGAATTCAAGTTGGTTGGTTGAAGTGGAGGAATGCTTCGGGTCTTTTGTGTGATAGAAAAGTATCGCTTAGACTGAAAGGAAAATTTTATAAGACGGTGGTGAGACCTGCAATGCTCTATGGCGCTGAATGTTGGTCTTTAAAAGAGAAGCATAATAATAAGTTAAGTGTTGCCGAGATGAGAATGATTAGGTGGATGAGTGGCTTTACACTTAGAGACAGAATGCGAATGAATATATCCGTGATAGGGTTGGTGTAGCTCCTGTGACGGACAAAATTAGAAAAGCCGTCTTAGATGGTTTGGTCACATTAAACGTCGACCATCTGATGATCCGATTAGGAAAGTAGATGTTTTAGATTCGACTTGTGTTAAGAAAGGCAGAGGTAGACTTCGAAAGACTTGAGCTTATTGTATAAAAAAAAATCTTAATTTACTAGAACTAAATGAAAATATGACACTAAATAGGACGCAATGGAGAAAAAAGATTCATGTAGCCCACCCCACATAGTGAGATTAAGGGTGCGTTTGGGAGGGCGTTTTTGTTGCGGTGGCGTTTTGAAAACGCTACGCGTTTGGAAAACACTTGCTAGATGCATTTTACAAAATAGAGTTTTCAATTTACTATTACACGCGGATCGAGGGGTCATACCCGTGATTTGCGTTTCATCGTTCAGAAAGACTCTCACTGCCCCTGGTCTCGTCGTTCCTTTGCCCTAATTTCGCAAGCAGGTCTCGCACCCCTCGTCGCTCCTCTCCCCGCAAGTAGCTCTCGTTTGTATCTCCCCTTCGTAGAACCCTAATAGAAGTCCCTGAAGGTATTTTTGTATCCATCGTATCTCCTTCCATTTCTTTTTCGATGTCCACGGTTATCTTCTCAGAATGTTAATCGAGTCCTGATTTCCTTTGTCTTCCTCTGTTATTTCCTTGTCCTGATTTATATATTACACCATACTGCACTTCTTTGCAAATGAATCTGGTTTCCTTCATCTTCCTCGCCGAAGTAGCACGATGGTTTGGAATTTTTTTTTTAATCAAGCAGACTATTGACTATTATAATCAAGCAGACTATTATTGATGGATCTGATGTTTCTGGTTATGGATCTGATGTTATTTCTGGTTATGGATCTAATATTTGGTACTTGTATTGTGTAATACTTATGGTTCTTTGCGTTGATACTATTATTTAGAGGTGTTGTGGACTTCCTGCAGTGATATTCTTTGATCATTATGAGGTATGGAAAGAAAATATTGACTCAAAATTGGAGACAGTTTTTAGAAGTTAAATAAGAGTAATTTACAAAACTGGAAGCAGAATGCATATTTTTTGCAAAGCAGTCAGAAAGCTGCTTCAAACAGAACCTCATCAAGACCACTGATAGAAAAGATTGTTATCATCAAGAATGGATATGTTAACACATAACAACTATGCATCCATTGCCTGAAATAGAGTATCCCCCGACCATCTATAACACGTATGGTATGTATGTAATTTTTTTAAAAAAACTATTGCCTAAAAAAGGCTCTCAACTATCTATGATGCAGTTGTCAAACATCAAATCTCTCGTATGTAATACATAGATAATAATTGAATAGCATGTATATAAATTTTTCTAAATTTTGATGGATGACACTGCATCTATTGCCTGAAGAGAGGTTCCCATAGCCATGCTTATAATAGCTTAACATCAAAACTCTCTCATTCACATCATTAATAGCTATATCAGTTTTGAAAATATTTGTACTTCATTTTGAGGATTCTTGAGATGCAGTTGAATAGCTTCAAATGCAATATTAGTTTTGTGGCCAAATTTCACATGTAATGCAAGGAATATATACGGATAATTCGTTTGGGCTATTTTCTGAGTCGGTATTGGGCTATTTCCAAATCTAATATTGTTAGAATTCTTTCAAATTATTTATTTTTGAAAATATTTGTACTTCATTTTGGAAAACATACATGACAAGAATTTCTATTTTATCTAAGGTTATGTTTTTTTCTTCAAGTGTTGTTTTATTATACTATCAATATGAGTGCATTATTTTATCCATTTTTTTAGTAGTCTCATTATGTCTAAAAACAAAGAATGAGCTACATCAGCAATGTGGGACAAGGAAGTTACCAACATTTTTTTGCAATATCTATATTAATGAGATTGAACTTGAAGATAGACTGACAACCTACTTTAACAAAGAACGATGACAGAATATTTCCATTAAGTTTAAAGAATTGACAGGACGAGCTTACGTTATATTGAAATTCAAGAACAAGTGGGATTAACTAAAGAAAGATTGAAAGTTACGGAAAGAACTTAAACGGGGATCGACGAGATTGGGTTGGGATCCTGTCAAAGCATACCGTAGACGCTTCAAAGGAATGGTAAACTGAAAAATTAGAGATGGCAGCTTGGATGTTCCTCTCATTGCAGCTTGGATGACCCATCTTCTTTTAGGGGAACCGCCGCTTCTACTACACAATAGTTGGCACCATCCTTATATTTTTTATCTTATAGGAGTTAGTTTGCTCGTAAATGCAGTTTCCTATGTGTTTCTATGAAAGGACATGTCAGATATGAATGCTTATCAATGTTTTCTCTTTTTTTAGGCTTTTTAAGCAAGATAAATATATTATTGAATAGTGAATTGCTTTATGAATGAAATTGAAAAGTTAATAATCATAAATCAGTTAGATATAGCAGTTGTAGAACATTTCAGTAACTGATGACCATTCACTCATATTAGCAGGATATAGAGGGTGATCGAGCATAGTTTTTGTCAAATTTGCAGAATGAATTTTGTTCCATTGTTAAGCGATATATGAAAGAATCTGATAAAGTAGAATCAAATGGGGTGCTAGTACCTGTTCCTTTGATTTTGCTTCCTTCTCCAAAATGCACTGCAATTAACGAAAATTATTCTAGTGTTGATTTGTTGGAATCTCTTTTGTTCTATTGTGCATGTTTGTTGGATATAAATTTCATTCTTACATCTAGAATGAAGCCTGTTGGGTACATGGCTGCCATATATTACATAATGTGTTGCAGCTGTGTTGTGCTGGCTTCTCATAGTGTTGAAATTGGTTGGCTTCTCCATATTTCGGTAAGTATATTTTCAATATTTCCTCAAATTTTTTTACTGATTTATTCTCTTTTTATTAACTGCAAAACGATGAGTTTCAGCTATTCAAGGAAGCCCGGGCAAGTGATGTGTCGGTGCGGGCTACCGACCTTGCTACTCACGTCACGTCAGTCACATAACTACGAAAGTCAATTTTACAAGTGCCAGCGGTGGACAAAAGGACAAGAGGATTGCACTCTCTTCAGGTGGGCCGACAGTACGCCTCTTTCTATGAAATCCCAACTGGACACTGTTGCTCGAAGTTCGTCGATATCACAATTTCAGAACACCGCTCTTAGTTCTAGTGTTTCCATTTCTACGGTATCCCAGTCGGACAAGTTTGTTTTGGGTTATGGAGTGTCAGAGCCGGGCAGCATGGGCATGATATGCTGCTACATTTTAAAGTCAACATTATAATTTTTTTCCTTGTAATTTTAACATGTTATCTTTTCTTTTTTTGTATCATTATAGTACATATTAGTGTTAATTTGTATTTCATTTTTGTTTAGGTAACTGTGTTTCTGTGATATAATTTGAAATGTTTAAGTGATATAAATATTTTGCATTTTCATGTCTTAACATTTGAACTTAAATTTTAAGAATATTTTGTATTTTCATGTTCTTCAATCTTCACATTTATCTCACGTTTATTATTGCATTAATGAAGTTTGATAAATTTGTAAAAAAATCTACAAATAAGCTGTTTACAAAACGCACAAACCAAACAAACATACAATTTATCCGGATCAGCTGCTTGTCACCAGATTATCACGATAAACAGTTTATCAGGATAAGCAAGATAAGCTGCAGCAGCCCCAAACAGAACCTAAGGCTTTGTTGTTTTTCAAGTGAACTGATTACTGCCAATAATATAAAAATAATAATTCATTTTAAATAAATTTTAAATCATATTTATTTAAATTAAGTTATAATTTTTATTTTATTTATTTAGTATTTTTAAACAAGTCAAAATTGAGCTTTCATCAAGCATATTTACTAACTTGTTCACAAACTTCAACCGATAGTATTGTTCAAGTTCATAAATGAAACCAGACGCAAGGTATTTAAGCTTGTTCATTTAATATTTGAATATTAAGAAAAAGTTCAAACATGCTCAATTACATAATTAAACGATCACAAATGAGCTTACAAGCGAGACGAATCACGAGCAGCATGTCAAACGGTCGATTCATTTGCATTAACAGCTCTAATGAGCACAAGTAAACTGAACAGAAGAATAACAACTTTTTCAGTAAAAGCATAGAAATGTGTCTCCAGCAAATTTTCTGGAATTGCTGGAATTAGCCAGTTAACAATTACGGGAAAGATTTCAAAATAGGAACATGGCAACTATATGATTTAGATTTTCATTGGCAGGAAGGAGAGAAGAAAACTCACTGTGGTTTCTTTAGTGACAGCGGAAGAATTTGGCAGGGGCTTTTTTTGCTTCGATACGGCTCCCAGATTTGGCGGTCCAGAAGCTCTCCGCCTCGAAGGGTCTATCGCAGACCAGCTGCTTCCTTTAACTTCTTCGCCGCCACCTAATCATTACATGGGGGCATGAGGGCTCTCCATCGTAAAATCAGCCAAAGGTAAGAAATTTTTTTGGTTTACTCAGTTTCACAAGTTGCAACATGCAAGAATAGAATAAAAATAAAGGAAATTTACATACGTACCACATAATTCTTATGTATTTACATATCTAACACCGAAAGTTTGATATTTACACTTCTAATGCGGTGTCACAATACCTACGCATGAAAAGGTGTATTTTATATATAAAAAAGTAATGATGTTGTATTTTTGATGTGATGTTAAAGATTCGAGTGATATGCATGCAAATATAAATGTTTAGGTGTTGGGTATGTAAATAGATAAGAATTGTGTGGCAAGTATGTAAATGCCCCTAAAAATAAGCTAAAAATTTATGTAATTTCATGGCAAAAAAATCAAAGAAAAATTTTGTAACATGATATCATAATAAAGAAGTGGCCAAGATAGGTGTAAAAGCTCTTAAATATGGCTTGACAAAAGACCAATATAAGTTACATGCGTTGCATTTGTCTTAGGGCCCATTTGATGCCGCGTTTTTCGCACAGTGCGGCCCGCGGTATTCTTTTAAAATTTTGTTAAACGCGGCCACGGGTTCGACCCCGCGGCCCGCATTTCTCCTCTATTGACAGCAGACATTTTACCCCGTGGTATCGCTCTCCCGTGGATCGCAAGCTCCGGTGGCAAGACATTTTTACGGCTGCCTATTTTCGGTTGCGAGCGGCTATTCTAGTGACCATTACATTCTTCTCTCTCACCCGCTCTTTCCTTCCGCTCGAATTTTGGTGGTTTGTCCACTCTCTGTTCTGTGTGGTGGAGGCAGTCCTTCGGATTGGTAGATAACTTTGGTTGGTGGTTATTCCATTGAGGTGTGTATTCTCTCATCCCCTCTCCCTTTTCTTCTTTAGCTCTGTTTGGTGGTTGTGATATGATCGGTTATATGTGGTTTTGATGGTTTGTGTTGCATCTAAACGGGTTTTGGTTTATGCATTCAATGTAATGTTGTTTGGATTGGTGCTTTGCGGTGATCTTTGGATTTTTGGTGATTTCCTTGTAAGCAATGCTTCAGGTCCCCTGTATATGGTCTGTTCAATTTCTTTTGGTACTTAAGCTGTGGGGAATTTGAATATCTTTATGAACTTTGATATTTCAATGTGAAATTTGAAAATTGGATGAAATTTGGTGTTATATTTGTTAATAACAATAATTCGAGTGCTTTGTAGGTGTTGTGTATAGGCTGGGAAAATGAATTTTGAATTTTAATGGAAATTTCAAGTTGGATTTGTATGTTGTTATTTCTAATTTCACAGGAATTTCAATAAAAAAACCGGCGTGTGGTGTGGAGGTTGTGGTGTGATGTGTTGTGGTATATTGGTGTGCGGCATTGGAGTTTGTAGTGTGGTGTGTGGATGTGTTGGTGTGGTGGTATTGGGTGGTTGAGTGGTGTGGAAGTAATGGTGTGGATGTGCTGGTGTGGTGTGGAGGTGGTGGTGTGGTGTGAGTTGTGTTGTGTGGAGGTGGTGTGTAATGTGATGAGAAGGTGGTGTGATTTATGGATGTGTTGGGCGTCTGGTTTGGAGTTTGTGGTGTGCTGTGCGGATGTGGTGTGGATGTGTTGGGTGGTTGTGTAGTGTGGAGGTGGTGGTTTTGGGATGTGTTGGTGGTGTGTGGAGTTGGTGGCAGTGTAAGAGTTGTGTGGTGTGGGGTGATTGTGTGATGAGGTGGTGGTCTGGTTTGTGGATGTGTTCGTGTGTGGTTTGGAGTTTGTCGTGTGGTGTTGGGTGGATGTGTGGCGTGGAGGTGGGGGTGTGTGGTTGTATTGGTGTGGTGTGGACGTGGTAGTGTAGTAGAGTTGTGTGGTGTCGAAGAGTTGTGGTGTAGGAGAGTTGTGTGAAGGTTGTGGTGTAGGATGATTGTGTGATGAGGAGGTGGTGGTGTGATTTGTAGTTTGTGGTGTGGTGTGTGGATGTGTTGGTGTGGTTGTGTAGGGTGGTTCAAGGTGTGGAGGTGGTGGTGTGTGTGGATGTGGATGTGGTGTGGAGGACAAAATTTTCCATACGTTGTCTGCATAGAGAGCACCATGCGCACAACGACTGCAATTCTCCCATTGCGACAGAAAAAAAACAGCCTCCACGATCAGGCGTATCGCGGCAGTTGTCAGCACAGTGTTCTCCATGCAGACAGCGTATGGAAAAATTTCTTGATGTGAAGGTGGTAGTGTGGTGTGTGTGGATGTGTTGGTGTGGAGGTCATGGAGATAATATTATGGCATTACGATTTTTCTTTATTTTGCGATATTGTGGCATTCATATTTATGTTAATTATTTTTTTTTCATCCTATTAATACAATGATCAAGTTCAAAGCAAAAGGCTCACTTGCAATGAGAAACAAAGAAACAAAAAAATATTTTGCGACACTTGTCTTGAGAAGATCAATCTGAGAAAAATACCTACAACCTATTTCAATAAGAAATGATGACAAAATATTATCAAAAAATTCAAGAAAAACACAGATAGAACGTACGATAAGATGCAATTAAAAAACAAGTGAAATCGGCTCAATCGGAATTGAAAAATCTGAAAGGAATTGAAATGAGAGTCAACGGGCTTGGGATGGGATCCAGTGAAACAAATGATTGATGCTTCTGAGGAGTGATGGGCAGAAATGCTTGCAATAAACATATCTGAAATTTTCCCTAATCTAATCAATTTTTATTTTGTTTTTAAATTGAACTAGATGATATATGAATTTTAGGTGGTGTTTGCTGCGAAAAAATTTTAATTCAGTGGAATCGATCCTGAGTTGGAGAAGTTGGATCGCATGTTTGCGGGTGTCGTGACAACGAGCAAAAAATGCAAGTGACCCCAGTGAGACCGGATTTGGTAGCACAACAAAAAATTTGGAAGCCAACCAATCTGGTGATTCCATCGAAGGCCCCAACTCATACCTTCATGAGCTCAAGTCCACAAGTCGTTGTAAGCGTCCGTGGGTTGAGAATAAAAAAAATGTGAGTTGCTTTCCTTAGAAGCAAGATATCACAATTGGTGGCTACATGTAGCAATGAACCTAGCATAGCTCAAGCAAGTTCTATTGACTGGTTCTGCAAATTTTGAATGCAACGCTAAAAATTTATGACTTGTCGCTGTACATGTTTTCAATGGAGTTGCTTGAAAATTCGACCCAGAGAGAATTTTTCATTAAGATGTCCGATGACCATAGAGTGACGTACTTACGATATTTCTATGAGCACTTTGCGTGAGACATTTATTAGTTTATTGTTTTTTATTTTATTTTTGATATTTCAACTTCTTATGACATGTCTTATATGATTATTCATTGATACTTATATGTTTATTGTGTTGTTCGTAACTAATGTCCTAAAACATGCTAAATTTCCTTTATATTTTGCACTTACTTATGGATGAAATTGTACTATAAAGAAAAGTAGTTTTGTATTTTACTTGCAGGTACAACATGTAGGAAATATAGAGCGAAGCAGGGCTAAAATGGAGCAAAGCGGAGGCAAAATGAAACATATTGGAACCAGCAAACTGGCGCATAGGCGTCAGCCTTTTGGCGCTAACGCGCTCAAACGAACCTCCTTGACGCCAGTTTACTGAGCGCTTAGGCGTCAAAACCCAGCCAGGCAACCTGAGAAGATGGTACCTAGACGCCACAGTCTGAGTGTCAAGGCGCTGGTACCTATCAGAACGGCCCCCGCAGTTATTCAGCACAATGAGGGGAGTTATTTGACAGATTTTAACACTTAGAGAAGAGACCCTTGGCCATTAGGAAGCCTTGGGAAGGCAGAGAAGTCGTAGGTAGATAGAGGGTTTGGTATTTTTCACTATTCTTAAGAGATTGGTGAGGAATTTTGAGAGAAATCTGTAAGTGGATCATTTCAGCATTGCAGGGAGCACTTAGATATATTGTTGAAGGGACTTTTCATCTCTTTAAAGAGGAGAATAACTAATTATCCTGTAACCATTTATCTTGTACTTGTTGTAAGCACATATTTAGTAGATTTGCTTTGTTAAATGAAGAGAAATTCTATGGTGTTTTTCATGATTTGTGAATAAATTTTCTTTACTTTTCTCTTATGATGATAAATAGGAACTATAGGATGTGTAGAATGCTTTTAGAATTGGTTTTTAATATCAATGTGATGAGTATTCTTCTATATTTCATTTACTTTTCGTATTGATCATATGAATTGTTAAAATTTATTATGATCCATTAGAACTCAGGAGAACAGTGGAAAAACAACTAGAGTATTTACATTGCTCTATATAGGCTATAAAGAAAGTATACAATAGGCAATGCAAATAGATATAAAAATATGCTTTGATAAGTTCAATCTAGGGTTTAAGAAATTAAAACTAGGTTAACCAAACTTCTTTACGCGCTCGGATGAGGGTAAACGAAATATATGGTCATATTTGTCACTAGAAACAATAATAATTCATAATATATGATCCTACAATCCACTTATGCAATAACAAGAGAAATGTAGCTTTTATATCTTGATATCAAATGAACCAATTGATGTAGTTAGGTTTAGCTTTAGACTCAGTGTTGTAAGTTAGTAGATGTTAGAAAAACCACCTTAATCAACATTCCAAGTTAAGACTTATAAGTAGTAGACTAGAACTTTTCTTAAAGGAGTCATTACCTCGTTTTTTGTGAGATCAACAATCCGGACTCAATAGAGTCCTATATTACTGAAACGATACATATTCTTGTGTGAGAAATCCCACTATGAAATAAAATCTAATTTTAAGGATTCAAACAAGTGAGAAAGCGGATCAAGTTTTCTGGTGTCATTACCAAGACTTTAATTATTGTGATAAATGTTGGGGTGGATCAATAATCTTATATGATTGTAGCTAATTCATTGATGATTTTGTGTTAGTCAGTACAATACTGATCTACATGGATGCAACCAGAGAAATACGCAGAAGAAGAGTTGTAGTTATCGTATTCTTAATGTACGAAATATTATAACTTGTACATAGAGCACACCACTTGCATAAAATCTTCATATGTTGGGACAAATAGTTTGGGGAGTTGTTTCCGGGCCACCCTACAAGATTTAACAATATATTTCGCATGACATAGGCAGTATTCAACGATCTGTTGGCAGAATTACACAGAAATCAAGAACTTCATGGCTCTCCCAGGATGACATCACGAAAAGTGTTAGTGAGAACTCCCTACATATTATCGCAAAATGCATCAATGCGAGAAACAATAAAGCAATTTCAACACTCTTCTGAAATAATTTGCAAATATTTCTCAATGGAGTTGAATGCACTTATAAGTTTTTCTGTATAAGTCATAAAACAACAGATCTTACGTTCGAACGAACCCTCCATAGAGATTTCACACAATGTGCAGCACATGTCATTTTTTAAAGCAATTTCTTCAATTTATTACATTAAATTTTCAAATAAAAAACGTTATCACGTAACTCTTCGTTATCTTTCTAGAATTGTTTCGGAGCAATCGATGGAACACGATGCACGTGTTCCAAATAATGAGAAGATCGCATTCATCGGTGGTATGCGACTTCAACATGTGTTTCACCTTTATCAAGACCAGTTGAGAGGGCAGTGCACATGACTGTCAAATTTTCAAAGCCGCGACACGGAATAACAAGTACAACTTCTCACATCCACCTACAGTTATGCTTAAGATTGAGCTACTCTCCTGACTCATTTTTCCCGCAATACTAACAATGTAAATCATATCAGGTAAATATTATTTGATTGATGTTGAATCATTGTTGCAGCGAGGGTATCACAAACCCTGTCCTAATATGAAATATCATATACATCACTTTGAGCAAACTAGCAATGTAACGTGGGGCAGAAAAGAAATGTTCAATAAAAGACATTCCTCCTTAACCAGTGTCATTGAGAGAACTTTTGGTATTTGAAAGACGAAATGGGTTATACTTCGCGGGATCATCTTACCGTTTCCCAAACATGTGAAGATTGTGATTACCATGATGACTCTCCACAATTCAATCAGCGACATTATTCCTGCAACGACATTAGCTTCTGTAGGGAGAATGAAAACCATGATCGTCTCCGTCGAGGCATTTAAGTACCATTTTAGACATTCTTTGTCACAACATGAGAATGATGCTCCTGACCTGTACTAAAAACATAGAAGGTGCAAGCAATATGACAGTTGAGTGAACAAATTACGGATGCGATAGTGGGAGGATGATTTGAGTATTTAGTATAATATTAATTGTAATGATTGTTGAAGTGATTTATTTTTTTGTATTTTTATTTTATATAGTTAATGTTTATTTCATTTCCTTCTTTATTTGATATTGATTGTTTGGGTTTTTTACGTTGTTTGTAAGTGTTTTTTTTTTCATTTGCATTTCTTTTATTTTTCTTTTGGCGGGTTTGAAAGATCCATGATGAGAAGTTTGACCTTATGAGTTCTTTTGGATGGTATGTTAGTCGTTATTGGTTAATGTAACGGGTGAAATCCTAATGAAGGCAACCAAGTTTCTTTCGTCTTTTCGATGTTGTGGTTTTTAAGTTTCTTCTGGGTGAACTTTTTTTATGATATGCATATGCGACACACAAGCTTGGAATTACACAGGTTAAATGCAACCAAAAACCTTTTTTATAAGGTTCGTTGTCTTCTTGATTTGTATATTGAATTCTCTCAGATTTAACGTTTTCCAAAAGTGTAATTAATTACTTTTTTTTTGTCAATTTCTACTTGTGTTATATCTATTGGATTGTTTTTAAAGCATTAAAAAAGATAAGCTCAAGAATTTATGGTATCTCCCGAGGATTGTCGTGTCGCTGTGGACTTCAGTGTTCTCTGTTGACTTCACGTCAGCCACATAGCTACTAGAGACAATTCTACAGGTGCCCGCAGAAAATCACTAAAAATTGTGACTTTTTTCGGCGGGCAAATTGGCTTGGAAGATTTCACCACATGAAAAGTATCCCTGAAGGACGGCTTTGCTCGTAACATATGTCGCTGCATTTTTAAAAATAATATTATCATATTATTAAATATTATTTTAATAATCTTTTATTAATTATTGTAATCATAATACTTAATGTTAAATGAAGTGTGTATCTTATTTTTTGTACAGTTATGAGAGGAATTTTTGCTTATAAATAATCAAATATATTGATATGATAGTTCTGTTGTAAATAAAATTATTATATAAGGGCATAATAGTCATTTGTCCAAAAACAAGTTCAACACAGTTGTTTTCAGACTGCAAAAAACAAACCAACTAACTTTTCCGCAGTAGCTTCCTATAGTAGTTGTTGCATAAAAACTTATTAATAAGTTGCAACTACCCCAAACAGACTTTAAGAGAAAATCTAAGCGCTTTTCTACTGAAAAAAAAAATGATTATGATATTTGGACAATTTTTTTCCTAAAATCAATATATGTGATATTCAATTCCACAGCCAACCAAAAAATCAAAGGGGCATTTACTTGCATACCACATACTTATGTATTTGCATGTCTAACACCCATACTTAACCTTATACCACCCAAATCTTTCACATCACATCAAAAAATATTATCATCTTAACTTTTAAAAAGTGAAATACACATTTTTATGCATAGATAAGATGGATGAATGTAAAAATTAAAGTTTTGGTGTTAGACAAGTAAATACATGGGAATTGAGTGGTATGTAAATCTTCCAAAATTAAAAGGTGAAGCATAATTTCACCATGCCAATTACCTAGTTGCCTATTAGTATTACTAGCAGTTGGTGGCAAATCGGAGCTCCGCCCAGCACTTGGGCCCTAGAAAGGATGGAAATAAAAATTTTTAGTTCAATTTAAAAAGAAAATTGAAAAAAAATTAATGTTTTATGCTTACTATGGCCCGAGGAGGAGCAATAGTAACATTTGCCTGTTGATATTTCAAAATGGTCCAATCAAAAATATAATCGAACTGAAACCCTGCAACCACAATGGTCTGGGTTAATCCAAAATATGCCAATCAAACAAGGGCATTTCATCAAAATGCCAACTTCAAATAGCATACGGATCTAAAAAAAATACCTTCACGAATAAAAAGATCTCGAAATAATCTTTTTAGATAAGCATAATCAGGCTTGTCATCAAAGCGAAGTGATCGACAGTAGTGAAAGTACGATGCAAACTCTGATGGATATCCCTTACATAATGCCTGAAAGAATATATTGTTCAAGTAAATCACATCATTAACAAAAGAAAATTTGTTTAATATAAGCAAAATCTTACCTCAACTGATGTTGATACTTTTTTTTCACTGATTCTTTCATACTTTTGTTTTTTCGTACCTGCTTTGAGACCCTGCCAGGGTAAGCTGACAGCAAACAAAAGGATTCAAATGAGACAACAAAATATGAAAGGAACATCTAAATACATGCCACATAATTCTTATTTTAAAATGGTGATATTTTTTGTGTGATATGAAATATTTGGGTGGTATACATGTAAAAAATAAAATTTAGGTGTTATATATATACATAGGGATTGGGTTGCATGTATGCAAATGCTCCCAAAATTAAAAAAAAAAAGGGCCTTACTGTTCAAGAAGCAAAACATACCTTCCCCTTAGAAAATACATAAGAACAAACCCAAGAGATTCCAAATCATCCCTTCTGCTTTGCTCTAGTGGTCCAACAGTACAGCATATAAAAATTGCGTCATATCAGAACTTTAAGAAAAAATGCTAAGAAATAAGCAACCAAAAAAAAAATACATAGCAGATTAATGAGATGTGAGATTTTACATGCATGCCGTCCAATTCCTATGTATTTTTATGCATTTTACATTTATACCACCCAATGTTTCATTTCACATTAAAAATACCACCATTTTAATTTTTATAAAGTGAAATACACCTTCTCATGCAAAGGCAAGGTGGTATGACTGTAAAAAATTGAGTTTAGGTGTTAAATATGTAAGTACATAGGAATTGAGTATTATGTATGTAAATCTTCCTATTTTAAAAAGGTTGAACACCATACCTATGCCAAGATGAGTGTTCATGCTTGCGTATCTTGCTGTTCCTGTCAAGTTCTTATTCTCTCTGCAATTTATCCAAAGAAAAGAAAGTATGGAATGAAAACAATTAACAAAGGTTGGGAATAAGATTAAAACATATAATATGAGGGGTTGTGCGAAGCATATTGACCATCAAATAGTATTTATATGTATCATGAACATCATCAAGTTCTGTAAACAATCAAGTTCGTGGATATTAAGGAAAATTTTAGGTGTCAAATGAAATTTTAAGTTATTAAAAAACGCATGTGATGTGCTTAGCATCAGAAAAGGATGTGACTTGACCAAAAAGTAATCAATATAGGCAAGATTAGAGCATATAAACATTAAGTATATAACATTATAACATTTCATATTTGGTTATTGAGATATATATAAAGATATTAAAAATGAAGCATCTAGGTGTATGCTCTACACATTTGTTACATACGAGAGATCTCTTTTAAAGAATGTAAGAAATTAGACTGATGACATTAGGTAATTGGATTCATATTAGCAAAAAAGTGAAAAAAGGCAAAGAACTTTAAGGGACAGGAAATTAAAATTTATTAATTAAATCTTTCTTGGAAAGATTTAGTTATACTTTGGTAGTGCTCTTGGATATATTGAACAAAACAAATGATGATATATAAGTATTGGGAATAGGCAAAACAAGATCACACGATTGATGGACACGTCATATCATTAATGCGGACCTAAAAATGATTTTCTTGTGGAGATTACAACTGTAATTGCTCTGATGAAACAAAAAGATAATGCTCTCCTCATAACCAAAAACATAACACAATCGAAGATAAAATAAAGATTTCAAAACACTCTTAAGAATAATGAACAATTATTGGGTCTATTGCTAATCAACGACTAAATTTGCGAAGCGTGTTTCCTTCGTAAAACAAAATCAGGATCCACTAATTAACAATGAAGATTTAACTTCTACAGTAAAAGTTAAAATTTTTAATAAGCATATTTCAACTAAGACCATCACAGTCAGAAAGAAAATAAAATTATGACAAACAATTATGGTATAAATGAATATTAGTTTCCTTTTCACAACATAAAAGCATTAGTACTTAAATTGACTTAACCTCACAGTTTCAAAGGCATGTAATTGTACATTCAAAAAGGGTCATTGTCAAGTTAAATTCTTAGAAGTATAATTCTAAGATTGAAACAATCATCTGACAATAACTACAAAATTAAATGCTTTGAAAACAGCCATGAGGATGAAATTTTTTCTTTTCTGATAAAAGAGGTTTAATTTTTTTTTTTTTTATCAACTTTAGTGCCGCTAATCACCGTATCATTATTTTTATGGGCATTAACATACAAAGAACACCATTCTTATGTATTTACATATCTCACACCTAAAGTTTCAAATTTACATACATAGCACTTAAATCTTTAATATCACATCAAAAATAGCACTATTACCACTTTTTAAAAGTGAAATACACCCTTTCATGCATAAATTTAAAGCACCAAAGTGCTTTGCAAATATGAAAGTTTAGGGGTGAGAAATGTAAATACAAAAGAAATGTGTGTAGTGATGTGAATTTCCCTTATTTTATCATCAATTTTATATCTTCTTTGATGGTGATGCTACCCTTAAATATAGAAATTAATTGAAGAAAATTATGACCATTCGATTAGATATAAATGACAAGTTACAATTTTATGACACATGAATATTACTTTAAAAAAAGCAACCAAGTGAAACAAAGTATCCATGTAGAAGAATGTGCAGGTAGGCAAAGAGTTTGAAAACCTAATTATTTTAAGCCATTTATAAACTTTCAAAAGATTCTATTGTAGTTAGTTATTGAAGAAAAAAGTAATGTCAAGTGTACAGCAAATTTGTTGAGAATCAAAGATCATATAAAAGGCCAACTCAAATCAGAAATTACAAACTTAATTGCGTCTTCATTAGTGCAATGCAAAAATAGTGGCTTCCTATAAATAATTTGGTTTTAGACAACCACTAGCAATCACCATCATAGTGCTCATTATCTTATCCCAATTATTGTAAGCCTTTATGAATTCTCATTGTTTAATATTTCCTATTGAGTGCGCACTGAGGAGTTAAATGCTTATGCACAAATCTTTTCTCATGTCCATATCACATTTCGTATTTTTCTACCCATAAATTGGAACTTTATCTACTTATCTTCTGAATGTATTTTATAAACTTAGTTTTGCATGCCCAAAACAGCTTACTATATTATCTTCAATAAAAAATTTTCTTCCTCGCCTCTAGATATAATCATTCCTCTCATCTTTCATAACATATATCTTAATATTCATATTTTAGGTGTGCTTAATTTAGCTATTAATGACTGGTTAATTCCAATACCTATTGTGTAGTTATTTAGAGAAAATTTTCAGCTTTGAACACCCAATCTTAACTCTATAAATTATATCCAAATCTATAACTCCATTCTTCTAAGTATCACTTGGGCTTTAGCAATATTTCCTAATGATTATAAGGAATTTTTTGTCTATGAAGTATCAAAATCTTATATATTTACACTACACCAAACTACTTCCACTTATGATAATACCATGCAAATCTCAAAGTGAACAACAAAATCCCCACTTCAGTTTTTTACTTTCATGGCATCGTCCTTAATTTGACCATGACACATACAAATATATGAGTTTGCAAGTTCATTTTTTAGGAATAGGTGTAAAATATGTAAAGAAGATTTGGCTGACATTGTCATAATTCTTCCTAATTGTTAAAATCACGGCCACTAAACTCTTATATCATATACTCAATCATTATTAAACTACTCCCGGCCATTTATCTTCTAACAAATTTCTCCATTGTTCTAATTTTCAAGCTTTTTCCACAAATATCTTACCAATTAGAATAGTTATCAGCGAAGTCATAAATAATAGAAGCATGACACATGCCAGCCTAGGCAATTATCATTCAGCTGAAATGATCAAACAGATTATTAAAATAATAAAAAACAGTATAGACAAAGACCGACAACCAACACATGCAAAAAATTAAATAATGCAAATGAAACTCACAAAAGAAAAAATAAAGAGAAATAATTTTTTTGTGATAATCCGTTTAACATGATTCACCTGTATGGAATGTGTTGGTGAGTTGAAGTGTCCCTGTACTTCTTTGCAAGGCCAAAATCAATGATATAAACCTACAAAAATAACTATTAGAACTAATTTATCACTATAATGGATCCAATGCTGACAAAATTCTAGTTTGGAGATGAACCTGATTTGCTCTTCTGCCCAAACCCATAACAAAATTATCTGGCTTGATATCTCGATGCAAAAAAGATTTAGAATGAACAAATTCAACTCGGTTGATCTGACAAAACAATATACAAAAATAGCCTGAACAAATTATAGTAAAAAGTTAACAGCAACTATAAAATACTAGGGAAATTTACATAACTTACACGCAATTCTTATGTATTTACATATCTCATATCTAAACTTTCATATTTACATACATAACAGTTTGGTGCTTTAAACCTATACATGAAAATGTGTATTCCACTTTAAAAAATGATAATAGTGTTATTTTTTATGAGATATTAAAGATTTAAGTGCTATGAGTGTAAATATGAAAGTTAGAAGTGACATGTGTAAATAGATAAGAATTATGCGTTATGTATGCAAAATGCCCTACAATAGTAAAGCCCGTACCATCTGGTCTGCAAGCATCAAAACCGTTTTTAAAGATAACTTTCTACTACAAAAGTTAAAAAGATCTTCAAGACTTGGCCCAAGTAAATCCATCACCAGCACATTATATTCACCTTCAACACCAAACCATTTCACATTGGATATTCCAGCTGCAATATCAAAAAGATGGAAAATGTACAAGATGTTAAAATGATAGCATATAAAGGATATTGAAAAAAAGGGGCATTTTTATACTGCCACTCAACTTCTATGTAATTACATATCTAACACCTAAATTTTACTTTTTTATATTTATATCACCTAGATCTTTCATACCACATAAAAAAGTACTGCTATTATAACTTTTAAAAAGTGAAATAAACATTTTGATGCATAGATAAGGTGGCTTATATGCAAAAATTAAAGTTTAGGTGTTAGATATGTGAATACATAAGAATTGAGGGGTATGCATGTAAATTTTCCAAAAAAAAAAAACAATATAGATATAAAAAGGAAACAAAATCAATTACTTCCTCCTTGCAGGATCCTGTATAGCTTTGATTCATATAGCAATTGAGGATGTGATGTTTTAACATTTTCCTGGAACAGCCAAAAAGTTCCGTCAACAAAAAGAAAAAAAAAAAGTTAAGATAGTAAATGATATTCGTGAAAGTAAAAGAGAAGTATCACAGAGAATAGCATGACATAAATGACCAAGCATCTTCAGCAAAGAAAATGCCAGCCAATGATGAAGTTATTAAAGTTTTATCCATACATATGCCATAAGCCTCCAGAGATTCCAGCAATTTAAAGGGCATTTACATACATACCGCACAATTCTTATGTATTTACATATCTAACAACAAAACATTAATATACTAGTATACCTAGTATACCACTCAATTTTTTAACACCACGTTAAAAATACCACCATCGCTACTTTTTTTAAAAGTGAGATACATTTTAATGCATAGATTTAGGACATCAAAGTGTTATAAGTGTTGATGTGTGACGAAAGGTCCACGGTGACAGAGTGCTTATTTAGTGTGTTAGTTTTATATGAAACTCCATCACACAGTCAGATAAAAAAAGATAAGAGAGAGACACATCAATTTTTAAGTGGAAACCCCTGGAAAAGGGGGAAAATAACGAGATCTGACATAGTTGAAAAAATTCACTATGAATTGTGAGTAAACAGATCCACTATTCTCCTAAATTAGGGAAGACGGAGTTACAAAGTTGATCATTCTAAATGTACAGGAGTAGTTCATTGATAATAGTTGTGATTTGGTTGTAAAAAAAATAGCTCTCGGTGATAGTAGGCTGCAAGAGCTTAAATTAATTGCTACGGAGGTAGTAATTTGTCAAGAATGTTGGACGGCTATAATATCGGTTAATCATATAGCCCGTAGTTGAAAGTCATGATAGCAGATGCTTCGAGAACATCGGTTGACCACAGAGGCCGTAGTAGGAGGCTGCAAAAGCTGTGAGCCACCTAAGTCATAGTAGTGAGTTGGGATGACATCCGTAGACTATAAAGGCAAGAGTCGGGAGCCGCTCTAGTTGTGAGCCACGTAGTTGTAATTGTCGCATAGGACATAGCAGAGAGCTAAGATGACATTTGTTGGCCGCAATGGCAAGAATTGGCAGCTGCACGAGCTATGAGCCACGTAGGTTACAGTTGGTTACATAGGTCGTATGGATGAGCTGTGCTGACGATTGTAGACCGCAAAAAACGATCCATAGATGCACAAGTTTTGAGTCATGTAAGTCATAGTTAGTCACATATGTTGTAGTGATAGCTACAACAGCGTTCATAGGACACAGACTAAAATCGGAATTGGAATAAGTTGTGGCCACATAGGTTACAGTGGTGAGCTGCAATGATGTTCATAGGCCGCAAGGGCCAACGTCGGGAACTGCACGAGTTGTGCACCAAATATATTGTAGTTGGTTACACAAGCCGCAGTGGTAAGTTGTGGTAACGTTTGTAGGCCGCAGATGCCATAATTGGGGGCTATATGAGTTGTGAACCACGTAAGTCATAGTTATTCATATGGGGTAGTAATGGTGAATTGTGATAACTTTTGTAGTCTGCAGGAATCGGAGTCAGAAACCGCACGAGCTGTGAGCCATGAAAATCCTAGTTGGTCATGTAGGCCTTAATAGTGAGTTGTGATTACATTTAAAGGTCATAGAGGACGAAGTCTAAGCACGAGTTGTGAGTCATGTAGTTTGCAATTGTCATTTAGAATGTAACAGTGAGTTGTGATAACGTTCGTAGGCCGCAGAGACCAGTCGAGAGTTGCATGAGATGTGAATCAAGAAGGTTGTAGACTTGTAGTCGGTCATGTAGATCGTAACAGTGAGCTACGATGACGTTCGTGGGCTGCAGAGACTGAAGTTGAGAGTTGTACGAGCTGTAGATCACATAAAGTTATAGTTGTTCACGTATGTTGTATTGGTAAGTTGTGATGACATTCATTGGCTACAGAAACCGGAGTTGGGAACTACATGGGTTGTGAACCATATAAGTGGTAATTAGTAACATAGATCATAGTGGTTAGCTGCAAGAAAAGTGCTTTAAGAACCCAGATAAAGTCATTGTCTTCGATGTGCATTATTTCACCGTTATTGGGAGGCGTCATTGCACCGTCGGTGGGTGTGTTATATTGCAGGATGTCTCGTTGCTCTGCAATTAAGACTCCGCACCACATGTTGTGATTTAGAAAGTGGTTTCATCCCGATGAGTCAAAGGTGGTCGACGGTAGTTACACCATCTACTAAGTGTGTTACTGCATGATCTTTGGAGCACGTTGTTGGGTTGTTTTTGTGGGGGCGTCGTTACACCAGCTTCAGGGTATACAATGGCATTGTATACAGAGTACATCGTTGCACTATCTTCGGAGTGTGTCGTTGTACCGTCATCAGGGTGTGTTTTTATGTTGTTTTCGAAAAGCGTCGTTGTATATGGGGTGCATTGCTACATCGTCATCGGGGAGCGTCACTACATTGCATTTGGGTATGTTGTTACACTAACTTCGGTGGGCGTTGTCACACTATATGTAGGGTGCGTTATTATATCATTATCGGGGTGAGTTGTTGCACCGTAGTCAGGGTGTGTTGTTATGCTGCATTCGGAAAGCATTGTTGCATTATATGTAGGATGTGTTGTTAAACCGTCATCAGAGAGTATCATCGCATCGTATTTGAGGGAGTGTCATTATCGAGGTGTGTTGTTGCATCGTCTTAGCGATGCATCATTGCACAATGTATTGGGCAACATATTACTTCGTCGCGTGATTTACTGTTCCACAACGTATGTTGGGATTATGAGTTAGTCAAAGAAAGTGGCTACTGGAGTCAGGAGTTGCACGATGTATTGAAAGTGACTAGTGGGCAGTGATTGAAATTTGTCGAAAGTGACGATCAAAGCTGGTCGGAGCCAGTGACGACCAGAGTTAGTCAAAGGAAGTAGCTACTGGAGGCGGAGGCTTTTGGATGCAAAGGCTACCAAAGGTAGAGGTTGTCAGAGACAACAACCATTGTAGTTGATCAAGTCAATGGCGGCAGATGCATAGGTAGTGGCGACTGTCAGAGGCGACGGCAACCAGAGTTGGCTGGGTTTAGTAGTGGCAGCTACCTGAGTTGGCCCTGAGTTGGCCAATGCCGCCGGTGAAGTTAGTCAGAGTTGGATGTGACGATTGCTTGGGTAGGAGGTAATTATCTGGTCTACAGGGCATAAGAGATGTTGGATTTTAGCCCCTCCAAGCTTTTGTCTATGTGTGAATCAAGGTCTAGCTCTCATTTCAAGAGAGAGTAGGGTTCTATTCATAGAGTTCAAGTTGCAAATAATGAATAAATCTGAACTACTCTGATTTGACGGTTTGGGGAAACTCCCTCCATTGGATGGTATTTTGTGGATATTAAGTATCTTAATAATACTAGAATTGAGTGATTTTTAGCACTTTGGATCTTCTTGTTGAGACGCAAGATTCGAATATAAACATGGTATATTTAGAATATGTTTGGCCTTCAAATTGTGCATTCAATGCTTTCAAAAGTTATTTAACAACTTGATTTGAGATTGATTTGAATCGAATTTGACCAATTTTGAAATCATTGGGTCCGTCTCGTAGAGCCGATCAGTTCGACTGTAAGTTTACTTAAACCAGAGTTTTAGATGACCTTCAATCGAAGTTTTAAATGTTCCTTGCTAAAATATTTTCTCGAAATTCATGTCGTTACTCGAGATTCATGCTGGATGATAAAAATTCATTGATGGCGTGTCAAGTGTAAATATCAAATTTTATGTGTTAGATATTAAAATATATAAGAATTATGAGGTATTGTATGTAAATTGGTCATAATATCAACAGGTAGAATGAGTAAGGATGACTAATGTATCGAAAAAACAAGAAAAGATATATTAATTCATCAACTTCAAATAAAAAAATATATATATGAAAGACAGAATTTACATTGTTCAATGTCAAGCAATGAACTACCGAATCCAATAGACAAAGAATGGTGTCTTAAAATTGTGAAAATCTTTATATATATATATATATATGTATA